GTAAAATCCAAACTACGGTTTGGATGTTGAAGAATAGCCGACCGGGGACTTTAGACACTCACCCTTTCCCGTCGAAATCAAAACAAGTAATCGGGTAAATAGCGGTTCTATAATTCATCATAAATTTAAATGTAAATCGTTACCTAAACAAATATTACCACCCGGCTATTCAACCAATAATTGTTCAATCAATCAAATCTAAATTACAATAAATAAAGAAGTTGATAGAAGATGAGGGAAAATTACCAGTCAAAACAAATGAACGTTATTCTATCCTGACTGGATAGAACACACATAAAAGGAGGAGCAAATCAATATGGCTACCGCCAAGAACAAGTGTCAAGTAAAACAACCCAGATGTAGTTCAGGAAGAAACACAAACTTAGTAAATGCGTAAGAAAAACAGAAACTATAATAAAAAATGCAAGTATTAACAATTCAAATGTAATCAAAATACAACGATGTACAACTAAGGGGATCAATAGGAACAAAGTACAAGTATATACATGGAGGGATTTTCACCAACACACAAAACCTTCAAAATGGATCTTACAAGTAGTAGTACGGCAATATACAGCAGATGTACATGATGTGACTTGTCTTCATCGATTACCTGAAATACAGAATAGAGATAGCTTAGTAGGTTCATTTAGTAGGATCTTAACGTCAGTTTTCGAAAATTGAGCGGACTTACTATATGAGGGATAGCTATGCTGTGACGACGAATTTTGTCGAAATCGACTTTTACGGGTCGTACGAAACACTATAACCGCAAAGAGTTTATCCAGAAATAGTATGAATAAGAAAGCTGAAATCTGTACATTGTTACACCATTTCAGCACTTAGTCAATATGATTTCATCTCTTCAGTCATGTGCCTGTAGTGACCTACTTTTATCGAGAGAACGTGATTGGTGTAATGGAAACAGTTATTATTATAATTAATTGTACCAGTGATTGTTTTACCGTATTTGCTTGTTTAACTGTACCAAAGCACATACATTCTACCTTGCTCGTGACCTTGCACGAACTTACGTTTGCTCAGTAGTTCTGTAGAATCATGGTCTACTATGATATTAGTACTTCTCTAATAACAGACCTAGTCCTAAAATTGTAGATTTGTCATGATATAACTGCCTAATGTATAAGATCTTACTTGGAAATCATACCACCGTCTACACTAACTCACCGTATCATAACCATCACCAATGCTTAAGCTAGAGAAAGAACAATATATTTAATACGAATAAAAAAATATAAGGTAACATTCCGCAGGGACCACGCCTGTATGACCGAGCCATGCCATCTGATCAATTCCAATTAATTCGACTTATTGTTGCCGCCTTTTCCATCGTTAGGTATTTCTCCGCGTTAAATATTGAAGATCTATTTTCCGAGTAGTCTCGTGTTCAGCTTTGAGAGTTGTATGGTTATCGTCCAATGTCACAACAGTTCCACTTTTACTCCTTTGGAATGATCTCGGCATTATTTCGATACCACGAAAGTGCCAACAAATATATCTTGCTACAACTTTCAATTGCCTTCTGATTCCTGGTTTACTTAGAGTTTTAGCCTGTTCTGGTACGCATTCTTCTTGTTGCGGTGATCATAGTCGACGCCACACTGCGCGCCTACTGCGTTACACTTCATCGATCAAGTATAATAACAACTATTTACCCCTTCACTCTCTAACCATGGCCCTCAGGTTTATTTTTATGACCAAAACAACAGACACGTTACATATCGGTAGCGGGTATCCGGCATTTAATTGTCCAACTTGCTTACACGCAGTACGTAATGGGTCCAGATAACCTATTAATGCTATATGGTATATTTTCAATGACAAATTTGAAACACATTGATTGCATCTCTGACCTGGTCCCAGGTTGTCAGATGCCTGAATCTCATAGTATTAAGAATGCAGAACAACTGAAAACTCACTATTGGTTTGGTTAGTTGACAGCAGAGGGCTATTCATAATACTCAAGAGAATAAGAAACCAGAAATCGTTTTCCTTCATCGCTCTCGACAACATAAATAACAGTTAGAAACGAACATACGGGGAGCTAGAAAACCCAAGGTGGAAACGACATTTATTTTGGCCAAAAAACACTTGTTGTGACTTCTGATATTCACAAGATAATATTCAAAACAAAGTGAATTGACATTTAACATTACAAAGAATACACTAACTTGAGTAGCAATAGGAAAAGATGGGAAGAAGAAACTGATTCAGAAACATTTGCATTAACACTCCGAGTATCACATAAACTGCAGAGTTTCATCAAACTAACAGAAAAAAGTGGTTCAACGACACCAAAAAGCCAGCGGAAGAACACTTAGAATGAGGAAAGCCAGCCACAATTGCTTACAAGGATGTCGGAAATGATGAGTCCTGCTTCATTCCGCCTGGTTTCAAGTAGACTGACAAAAACACAAACCGAAGTTGTGTTTGTTTTTAAGTATTTCGGATTTGTCCTGACCTTGTGGGACTAAAAATACTGGACATATCATTTCCACTTCCGTTTATTCGTGTTCAAATATTACAAATCAAATAATCTTCCAATCTGTGGCGAGACAGAGTAAAGTGATCTAACTTCTCTAGCTGCACTGTGTAAGGTAAACTGTAGGATACTAGGATTTCAATGAGAGCTGTTATGAGCACATTTCCTCAGATATCCGAGTTACTTTTAAATAGAAGCTTGCATTCTGTACGTAGTTTTGACTTTTGAACTTCACTAAAGCAGTGTACAATCACTGACACACTACAAACTGCAAATGGTTACGAGGCAGTACAAAGAAAACAGGCAGTTCTTCTTTGCTGTAGTTATATGTGTTTTCATTTCCTAATTGCATGTAGACAAAATAAGCTGCATTAAATACTTTTACCTTAATTTATATCAATCAACAAGAACGCTTAGATTGGCCACAGTGCGTCTGCTTTCTGTATTACGTTTCCCTAAATTTCGATGTTATCAGTATTAAATAGCATTGAAGACTTAGTGATTGGCGATGGTTCATTCGTACAAAGTATGAAAAGTAATGACGGTCAACCAAAATGTCTTAGATCCGAAATTCTGGGTTTCAGTAAACCCTAGAATTTCCCGTTTAAATGGGTATCTATTGAGCGAAACTCTATCAAATGCTACGTTGTAGCCAACATAGACAATATCCACAGGTTTTCTACTGTAACAAGTCTCTGTCTACCTTTAACTCACTATAAAGAGGGTTAGTTGTTGAGATTGATGGGTTCCACATCGCATATGGAATTTTTCGATCAAATTATCCCGATAAGAGATGTTGGTCAGTCAGTGATAATTCCTTACTTCAATTTAAGTAAGGCTTTCGACAGTGTCTCACACAAACTTCTTCTAAAACTCTCTTCATTTAGCATACAGGATCCCCTTTTATTTTGGCTCAAATCTTTTTCAGAAGAACGCAGCCAAATAGTTCTCTTTGGATCTTGCTACTCTCAAACCGTGAATGCAACCAGTGGGGTTATACGAGGAGGTGTGGTTGGTTCATTACTCTTTCCCCTTTTTATCAATGAGGTGTGTTCCCTCTTGTCGTGCTACTCCTCACATGCAACTACTAGGCAGCTTAGATCTGAAGCTCCTCAACATATTGATCACTTTTCCAAAGATATATCCAATTTTATTAGTTCCTGGTTTCTGATTTGACTGGGTTAGTATCCTTTGGTTACAAGAGGCGTTACAACCAGAGGCGTTGTCAAACCCAGATTATCTGTAGCATCATTGGTGGTGAGCCAGACGTGATCTGGTACATCAAACGATAAGCAAACACAAAAAATCAAGGACTTTTCTAGGGCTCGAACTTTATTGCCAATAATCTCAAGTCACAAGAGCCCGCCAAGTTATAAATAAATAAATATGTCGAAGTCGAACAATCGTTCAGACCAGACTTAAATATCATGGACTAGTTGTCTTCCGTAAGTTCATGGTAGCTTTACAACTTATTTGATCATCCATTGAGAGCAGTATGACAGTCTACATGGAAATGGCTATGGAATGCAACGTTTCGATACTTCTCAAAATGTGACTTTAAATATACTATACATGTCTTCAAACTACTGATAAGCATTAAGCGAACAGTCCCTCTAAGTAACACGCCTCACAGTGCTGAAAGATATGAGCGCAAATGTTTAAAACCCCGAGTTAAATGGGATCATATGCGATAGAGTATGTTCGAAAGACGACGTACCATTTACTGTAATCATTGGTTTTCAGCTGAGATAAGAATTAAGTATCTATAATATTATCCCATGATAATTAAAATATCATTTTTTCATCAAAAATAATTTCACTTGACTGTTATTCCTGGTAAGAAAAAAAGAATGTCAAAATTAGAAGGCCTAATCGTTTCGACGCAAAAAACTATCACTCTTAAAGTATACAATGAACATATATTACTTCAATAGCTAAGTTCATGAATCAATCAAGGCTAAACCACCATAGGAAAACTGGGCGCACTGGAAGGCTATTTCATCCCAATATAGGAGTCCTCATGTTGGTCTAGCTATAATTGACTCATGATCTATACTACTAAAAACCATTTCTGATACCAATCAACATATGTTCACTAGCGACTGGTTTCATGAAGTATTTCCTGGAGTTCTAGTGAGAACAATGACCAGTGGAGTTCAACCGGGTCTGTTGTGAGATAGTAACTCACTGAAAACAATGTTGGATATGTCGCTCAATTTCATGGATTGGTTGAAGTAGGACATTAACACCATTGGATGCCAACTCAGTGGTTTAGCGCTCGCGCACAAGAATGATAAGTCCTGGGATCAAATCTCGCGAGTCTGGATCGTGGATGTGCACTGCTGAGAAGTCTAACAATAGGACGATACGGCCGTCCAGTGTTTTCAGGTTTTCCATAGTGGTCTAGCTTCAACTGAATCATGACCTCAACTATTGATATTGCTACGATCTGCACAAAACCCCGCTTCTGATAATATATTACTTTATTTAAATTATACTACTAACAAGTAATATTAAATAATCGACGAAAAATATTTTCATATTATATAATAACAACTTCTTAATTATCAAATTGAAATGCGTTGTTAATAGAGTCAAAATAATGAATAGGTAGGATAAAATGATTGAGATTAATATAGAGATTAAAACCAAATTAATATGAGGTAGAGAAAAAAACGATGTTTGTTTTGATAGTACTATAATGTAACCTGATTACTGTTTTTTTTCGGCATAGCAACTAAAGAAAAATCAACAATACAAAGAAATTCGATACAAAACAACTTTCTTCCAAAAAGAAAAAAACAAAAAAAAGAAAAAGAAGACTATGATATGTTATTGGGTTTTGGAAGTTCTATTGAATTCGAATGTTTATTTTAAAACATTCTTTTATCTAGATACATTGTTATAATTAGATGGATGTTCACGTGCATTAAGACCTGAAATATAAGAAAGAAGATTTCCATTATAGTATCAATCTCATTTCAATTATAAACATGAAAGTTAATACTTTAAATGTATGAATTGGTTAATATAAGATTTGTAGTTAAGATTTACTAAATTATATTGATCATGAGAAAGGGAAATATTGGAAAGCAAAGAAAGTGAAGTTTCGATACGTTGGTTAGTGTTGGGTTGGAGAATGCTAGTCGGTGGCCTATGCTCCATTAGGAGTAACAGGCGCAAGTAAGTAAGTAAGTAAGACCAAATGATAACAGGGAAAAACCGGATGGATGTTTCATCACACTTATAATGAGTCATATTTTCCGTTGGTGATATAGAGAAACGATCATCTAATGTTGTCAGAGCAAATTTCAATAAATCATCATTTCTTAATAGAACTCATAGGAATCTGTCACGAAACCATTTATTAGTGAGGACATATGATTATTATATAGTTCGATAGTATGTGGATGTTTATTAAAAGTTTCGTTGTTACTTTCCTTTACTGGTTGACATTGGATAGAAAAGGGAAAGCCGGCTCGCAACGCTAAGATGTCTCAAACTGAAAAAGTTTTTAAGAAAAGCAATAACTCCTAACTACACTCCAATAGGTGGATATAACTAAAATAGTCTCCTTTTAGTCCCAACTACACCAAACAACATTCTTGAAAGAAAAGAGTTTTGATAGGGAACGAAGAAAATTAGTTCGAGCAAATATCATATGAGTCGAAATACCTTAACAATGATCTTCGGAAAAGCGTGACAACTTCATATACTAAAGGACCCAGGAACAAATTAGTATATAGTATCTTGTATTACAGAAAACATGAACGATGATCAGCATGGGAAAAACTGATGATTCAAATTCACACACTAGCTAGTTAGTTAATGATTTCTTGAGGATGTAACACAAACTAACAAGAAGTAAGTGTTCAATGACTTTACTCAATCTTTCATTACCAATAGCTTTACAGTCTATATTGATTGTTGATAAAAGTAGCATTTATATTTATCAAGTACCTACAAACGACGTAAATAAATTTAAAAAATGTCTTCTAGTAGGTTATTTTTAAAACTCCTGTTCGTGATTTTCATCGTGAATTGTAGTAATCCAAGTGAACCTTGGATAACCTAGATGCACTGGACGACTGTTTCGTTCTAGTATAGGACTCTTCAAAAGCGCGCATCCATAATCCCGTACACATCATTCGTTGGATGCCGGCCTAGTGGTCTAGAGGTTAAGCGTTCGCGCGCGAAACCGGAGGTCCTGAGTTCGAGCCCATTTAGTGAGGGATCGTCGATGCACAGTGCTGAAGATTGTCATACTAGGACTAGACGGCGACCTAGTGCTTCCAGCATTTCTATGGTGGTCTAGCTTTAATCGACTCATGAATTCAACCATTAAATTATTACAATTCCCACAAACCTTCATTCTGATAAATGAACAGTGTCAAGTATCTGTAACATCAAAAGTATTTAGAAACAATAAAACGGATTTTTTTCATTATAAATTAATGTCTCATAAATCGTTCGACTTGTACATGGTCTAAGGGGTTGAACCAAAACTAAATTTAATTGATCAGGATGAGTTTCCAATGAGTGATTATCAAATAGCTGTGATATATAAGATATAAAACTTAGTTGCGACCTTAGAGCGACGCCAGACTGACCTTGAGAGTGTTCATCGAATAACCAGGACCAAATAAGGGTTATAAACCTATGTGAGGAATTAGAATTATGATTTACAGATGACGGTTAGGGTAAGAAATTAGATTTAGGGTTTTTCATCATGAACTGACATCAGGTATAATACCAAGACTCTATTTAGTCAAATGGGTGAATGAATTTCGCGCCAAAATCTCAGACCTGTTATCTTATATGTGATTGATTCGTCCATAAATTATCGTCTCACCATAAAAATGAGCAACAAATGTAAAAGAAAACAGATTTATTGAATTTTGATCATTCGATGAGATCTAATCACTATCCATCAGTAAATTGTAGTGAAGTCTAAAATCTTCATGTTTAGAACTAAGGGAATTTGTTTGTATCCGACTCAAATCTAGCCTTTTTCTCCTGAGAAATTGAATGATGAATCTTAGATGAATGTCTCATTCTACATTCACGTATTTTCTTGTTTGTATTAGTACTCGACAGCAATAGCCTTCTGTGAGAGAGAACAAACCAACTTCCAGCTGAAGAAGAAATTAGGAAAAGACGATGGAAATAGATAGGACATACATTACGCAAATCGTCAAACTGCATCACAAGGCAAGCCCTAACTTGGAATCCTGAAGGGAAGCGAAAAAGAGGAAGGCCAAAGAACACATTGCGTCGGATAATAGAAGCAGATATGAAAACGATGAATTACAACTGGACGGAGCTAGAAAGGATTGCCCAGGACAGGGTTGGATGGAGAATGCTGATGAGCGGCCTATGGTCCTTCACGAGGAGTAACAGGCGTAAGTAAGTAAGTAATTAGTACTCGAACTCATTACCATTCGTTTCAATCAGTAGAAAAGTAGTATAATTATGTAATATCTAACTAAATATGACTTATATAAAGGGGTTTTGTGGAAATTAGTTTAGTTGCTAAGTTGGATAAGATTTAATGATCTGAAAAATGAAAAATCATTTCTTTAATGTGAGAAAAGAAAACTGTATTTTAAATATGAGGACATTCAGTATAGAGTTGTGGAAATTGATGAGTTTAACTGAAGTTATGACCCAATGATCAATATTAGATTACTATTGAAAACCTGGAGGTATTACTGGATGGCTGTTTCATTCTAATAAAAGAACATTGATGGAAAAAAGTCACAATAACATCATTGTACACTTACGTGCACTTGTACTAGCTGCTTCTTTAGCTAATTGTTGTTTAATTGTCATTAATCGAACTCGTTCAGCTATAACAGTATTTGTTTCTTGTAATTGATTTCCGTTATATAAACGATCATTAGTTTGATTGTAAACTGATGAATCTGTTAAACTGAGAAGAGAGGTGATGAGAAGAGGTATATGCAAAATAAATGTACTGAAATGAAATTATAGTTTATGTCATCGGATATCAATGGATTTTTTTGATTTTACGTCATGAAATGACTTTGGTTAGATAAGGATTGAAAATCGGGGAGCGATAAACAGCTGTATCTATCTAGAATAAGGATCACCAAGAGTGTGCACACAACGTCAGGACATGTAGATTGTGTAGTCGGTTGGAAGTGATGTTCTCTGATGATTTCGAGTTGGGGCCACCTAGCCTCGAGATTTTAGACGACAGAACTAAGTTGTTCCTGTGGAAATGAGACATTTGCATTTATTTTGAATCAATTAGGGTCATATTTGGTCGATTTTTTCCGACTGTAAGACCGGATGATACGGATATGAATTCAGCACAATGAATAGTTTCGGTCAGGATGATGGGTACGAGTTACTTGTGAGCCCTAACACAAAATCAAGACCCTAGTTTCCTGATGATTATCCCTATCCACCTAATATCAAAACATACTGGACAAGATATTGAGTCACCCAGATCCGTGGCCACACTGAGACGTGGCCGACAAAAATCGATCAATACTAATAACTAGACAAATATAACACTGGTAACTACTCAGTGACCAATCAGCGTCACTACTCTTGGACCAGTGGATCAAAACCCAGTTGCCAATATTTCTTATTTTAATCAGTTCGTGATATGTAATAAAGCCATCATCGCATAGGGTCGGTCATATCTATCTCATCTCTCTAAATGGCTGAACTCTAAAAGTCACAATTTCTCAGCAGTAATTTTGAGGTAGGTCATCGAACTTAGTAGTATGCATACGATTACTATAAAGATGATAGTTTGTGGAGATAGCTGAAATTTAATTTAGATCTTCTTACAGGTTGACATCAGATTAAGATGATGAGCATACAATGGTAGAACTGCATAGCTGAACAGGTAGCTATAGAGTGCGCACTGACTTTCAGTAGTTCTTTGGTTGATGTTATTACAGGATAAACATATCAGTTTATCAAACTTTTATCCCAATTATATATACACAGCATGTTACAACTATAATCCATGATAGTAGATACAAACAACCGGGTTAATGTCCGCAGAATTATAGTAATCAATGGCTGAAAATGTTAGATGCAGTTCAAAATGGAGTGAAATAATATAGATGCACACATCCTTTATCTTTCCTTAGATCATGGATTTTAAGACTATCATGTGCTTTTTATTGCCAATGTCATTCATTTTACACGAATCACATGGCCTATGTCTTATCTTTACTTCTACCACTATTATTGTTACTATTTTAATTACCATGGAATTTGCCCTGATAATAATTTCATCTAAAAGGCTGTTGATATACTGTGACTACTTAAACTGATACCCATACATATCAGATTTTACACTGTTCATAACTGAATGATTAACTGATCAGAATTCCAATTGTTACACATTAAAATTTCCATTTGTATTAATCGATAAACTTTTGAATACAATTTGTCGAAGATGTTCCATTAGTGAACAGTGTCATTGATACTGAGTGAAACTATTCACCTACCTTTGTCGTAATAGAACATTTTTTAATGAATTGATTTTATCTTCTTTCTTTCTTGGTATAATAATTTCATCACCATTTTCAATATCACTATTTTTGCCAATATCTTTACGTGAAGATAATCTTGGTGTAGCAATGAAATATTCATCAGGTGGATTTTGATCTTGAGTAGTGAACTATGATTAAAGTGTTAATAAGAGTGATAATTTTGATAACTAACACAAATCATAGAAATTGTGGATATTATAGTAATTTAATAGTTGAATTCATGAGTCAATTGAAGCTAGACCACCATGGCAAACCTGGAAGCGAGGCGGGATCGTAGATGCACACTACTGAGGAGTCCCATATTAGGACGAAACGGCCGTCCAGCGCTTCCAGGTTTTCTATGGTGGTCTAGCTTCAATTGACTCATGAATTCACAAAAACCTTTCTCTCATTATATTCATCGTATGCTCACTATTAATGGTCTCTAAGAGGTATTTCCTGGAGTTCTAGTGAGAAACCGTCACAAGTGTAGTTCAACCGGATCTACTGTGAGATAGTAACTCACTGATGACAATGGTGGATATTTCGCTCAATTTGGTGGATTAGTTGAAAATGGACATTAACATCGTTGGATATCGGTTCAGTAGTCTAGTGGTTAAGCGTTCGCGCGCGAGAGTGATAGCTCCTGGGTTCAAATTTCGTGAGGCGGGGTCTTGGGTGCGCGCTGCTGAGGAGTCCCACAATAGAACGAAACGGCCATCCAGTGCTTTCAGGTTTTTCATGGTGGTCTGGCTTCAATTGATTCGTGAATTCAGCTAATGAACTGTTAGAATAATTGTTTGTTGTTATGAATCAAGATCTATGATGTGTCTGTAAATATTAGTCGACAATGTTTGAAATAGTGTCGATTATTAGAGCAAAATTGGATTTTACATTATGTCGGTAATTTGTGGAGGAAATAACGGTAGACCTAATGTAAATGTTTCAAACTAATTTGACGTATTTTACATCAACTTGTCAAGCGAAATTTAACATGGAACGAAAAGTATAAGATAATATTATACCCAATATTTTGAATGAATATAACTGTCACAGGTTTTCATTAATAAACCAAAATTCCCAAGCGGATACAAACCAAGAAATCTATTCATACTGACTGATATACTTTAGGTGGGGGAATGTGAAGAATGTTTGAGCCATAACGAGTTACCGCTCGCCCCATTAATGTTAAATATTGGCTAAGGAATGGTATAAGTCATCCCCTAAATCGATCATAAGTAGTCAAGAATTTAAGAGAGTTGACAGCTTTATTTTTCATGGAAATTTCATCAACTCTGATGGATTATTTTCTGGCGAAGTCTCGGCACATATTAAGACAACCGGCTTGACTTTTTTGAAATAATGTCACTTGTTGAGTGGACAGGCTTTCCGCGTGCTAGTATTCTTTACTGTGATTTGCTCTGTATTTTTCTATGGCTACGAAACATGGTATATAAAACCATAATTGGATTGATCGATTGTAGTCCTAAACATCAATCGGAAGATTCACACAATCATATTTAACATAGTTTTTTACGTTTTTTTTTATTGAGATCATGAATTGATCGATGTTAAACCATCACTGAAAGCCCTGGAAGTACTGGACGGCAGTTTCGTCTCAGTATAGGACTCCTCAGCAGTGCGCATCCATAACCCGACATCAGAGGGACTCGAACCTAGAACCTTCGGTCTTGCGCGCGCGAACGTTTAATCTCTAAAGCCGGCATCCAACGAATCCCGCGTGCGGAATCGTGAATGCTCACTGTTGAGGAGTTTCATACTAGGACGAAACGGCCATCCAATGCTTCCAGGTTTTCAATGGTGGTTTAGCATTAAAAAAAAACTTAACAGTCTACACAACTTCACACTGTTGGTTTTTTAACTTATCAAATAAAGAAGTGTCTAGTTTCCAACTTTGCCAAATTTATTAAAAGCTTGTTTTATTTGAAACTTTGTACGAGTTGTTAAAAGATAACAAAACGAATCACCAGTTCAAGATACGCTTAGTTTTTCAACAACGACAACAAAAAACTCATTACCTTCCTTGAACTTAAACTAGATTTAAGTACTGAATGGAGTAAATTGTACAAACCCATATTCATCAATGAGTGTACAGTTAAACGTCAGACATTATTGTATTGTATTGTATTGTTCAGTGATTAGTTCATCCAAAAATTACATGAGGTAGTCATTTAGATTAATATAACCAATTCAAAACACTTAGACAACAGATGAATTGTAGCCAATATTGTAAATTGAAATGAGTAATTGATCTCATTTAGTACTGTTCAGCTAGGAAAATCTACATCTCAGTGTTGATGTTGATATTGGGATTCGAATCAAGTGTTAATAAATACTTAATTGTGTATAGTGAGAAAAACAAAATTCCATACAACAACGAATCGAATCATTATGTTTATGGTGAGATTATAATCTATGGACGACTCTTGAGCGACGCCAAGTTGACCTTGAGAGTGTCTACCTACTTACTAGGGCTAAATGAAGGTTATAGAGAAGTTTGAAGAATCAGGATTATGATGTACAGTTGATGGTTATGATTAAGAATTAGATTTAGGGTTTTCATCACGAACTAACATCAGCTAAAATGCCAAGACGGTATTTGGACGAATGAGTGAGTGAGTTTCATGCCAAAATCTAAGACCTACTATCGTAAATCTGATTAGTTCGTTCATAAATTATAGTCTCACCATGTTTATATCTGTTAACGATTAATTTTGCGCCAAAAATCATTTTCTAAACAAAACAAATGATCATCAGATGTTCTTACCATACTTTCAAGAGATCCAGCTGAGTTGATATTGTCTTGATTTAAAGATGACTGTGGAAGAGTTATTTTGTTTTTCAAAATAAGAATGGTGAGACAAAATAAAGAAAGAAAAGAATAAATTCATAACTATCATGTAAAAAATCTGTATTATTTACAAAAAGAATTAAATAATAGAACTCCTATGGTGCCAAAATGTTTTGACATACAAATTCACACTCTGTTAGATGATTGAAAGTATCTGGCAGCAAGTCCTGTACTGATCCATGTTTAATGATAGTTGAGACTTGTTACTAAGGCATCCATGTAACTTTGAACGAACTAACAATCCTCTATGAGATTTAAACTCATATCAATCAATTTGATAGTCTGAGCTATTACCACAGAGATATTCAGGCGGCGGATGATCTTCTGTAAGAATGAGATATCTACATTTATTGATCACTGAAAAGTTATGAATATCGTGCTTCTTCAGCCCTCAGTACTGATCAATAGGATGTGATCAATACTGACAAGTAGACAAATATGATGTTCATCCTTATTCAGTGATCAATCAATGTATGATTTATAGTCTTATCTATCTAAAAGCATTAAAATACAAATTTTCTAATAAATACAAGGAATCAGCTATTCAGCTTGTTGAGTAGCTTAGAGAATTCATGAAATAATAAAGAATATTTATGTATCATAGAAAACATCTCATTTCAATTAAATGAAGAATTTCAGTGAGAACATTAGCGGCTTTGAGTATAGTCAGTCAGTCAGCTACAACGTAGGACCAGGCACATATATGCATCGGTTCAAGTTGTCACATCACATTAGCATAACAAGATGAACACAAGATTCATAGAACTAGTCACTTCTATGGTAGTAATATATAAAAGAAAGATCAAATATAAGGATATACAGTACAGGAAATAGTTGATAGGAAGAAAGATATGAAGCAATTTAAATCTCATAGTTTAAAGGAAGACAAAGAGTGTATACACCTACGCCATTGTGATCGATTCTGAGGCATGTCACCCACAGTCTCCAACCATTGGTTACGATAGTCACGCGGACCATAATCAAATAGTCTGCATCTACCAATGTGGCTCAGACTAGATGTTAGTGACTTCAAGCACTGATGCAACGTTTTGGTTTGGCCGACCCTAACATTCTTCCAACCATCGCCAACTCCAGTCAGCATTGCACGTCGTGGTAATCGGTGTTCAGGCATACGCAACACGTGGCCCAACCATCTCAATCGATGAAAATTCATAACCTCATCAACTGACTTTCCATCATTCCCTAATACACTGCGTCTAACCTCACTATTACTTACCTGATGAACCCAGCAGATGCCAGAAATATTTTTAAGGCATCTGTGGTCAAGTACCAGTAGCTTACGAGTATCTTCTATTCTTAATGTCCTTGTTTCGCTGCCGTAAATTAAAACAGAACGGACTGCCGCGCAGTATACTCGTCCTTCTGTTGATAGGCAGATATCTCGCCTTCGTCACAGCTGACGTAAATTGGCAAAAGCCAAACGAGCTTTTCGAATCCGTGCTTTTGAGTATAGTCTTCTGACAAGATGACCGTCAACCTTTCGTGGTTATAAAAACACTAAACATATGTATTCACCCATCGTCACTTTCGATTTACAGTTTACTACTGATATGAATGATCATGTGATGTACCGTATGTTAACTACAGTTCTAGTAGAACATTCAGGTTGAAAAAAGAGTTGTGAAACAACAACAAGATCATCAAATAATTTTAAAGAATTGAAGCAAAATTTGGAAAATATTTTGAATACATGGCAATTTATAAAACTAAGTTTATATAACCCTTAGACTATTTTGGGAGAACGAATGTTCGCTTGTGACAAAGTTCTATACAAAAATAAAACAGTTTTTCAATATATTTCTTGACATTCAATAGTTTTCTAAGTAATTCACTTAGTATTGTTTACTCGTGTTGTTTAGAACTGCAATTGATCAGTCTCTTGTTGGTATATGCCCCCAAATGCTCTCACATGGCCACCCGTATATAGTCACTGTCATGGAAGTCCTACTCACTACCTTCTCGTGGCATTACTGTTGTTTACGAAAGTGAGAGGATTAAATGCAAATGTACGGCGCTTTAACAGGGTTGGTGGACACGGAGCGTACACCTAGGTGAGTTGGAAAACCCTGATTACAAACTAATGATGCATATGGGCTTCAGAATCCTAACAGAACAAATGGCGTATGGACCAATCGTTGGTCACCAGCTACCATGGGACTGTATCTCCTTACGTTGCTCCACTGCTTGTGGATCAGACCTTTAGGTCAGAGGCTCCGAGTGTGGCCCTCTGAGAAAACCACCTAACTCGGTTTGGGCATCCAGGCAATACCACAGCCCTCACATAAATTGAATGATTTATGTGGCGCATATCTATTTGATGCCTTCTTGTACCAATGTTGATGTGTTTAAATAAATAAATAAAATTTTTGGCATATGTTCATCCTATGCGGACTACCTAGATATTGCTTTAAGTCACAAACTTTATAAGCAAAGATGGCTAGCAGTGGAATCCAGAATGAACATTTTATCCTATTTCGCAATCATCAGTTGAATGTATCTGCATCTCATATTTGACATTCACTCCGGAACTTGAATCCAGTACCGTTCACTTTAAACACCATTGTATTATCCACTCAACTATTGAGTTCTGATAGCTACCTGAAGTAAATGTAATCTATGTTGTACAATTTTAAACACTACACAAGATTATCTTTGATGAAATAAAAGAACCATTCAATAAATCAATATCACTTACTCGTCTTGAAGAATCATATAAATTTAATTTATATTTATTTGTCATTGTATTAGTTTGTGGTAATAATGACTTTTTAATTGGTTGTATTTTATTTTGTTCCATAATAGAAGAACAATTTGATATTATTGTCTCTCTTTTAGGATTATAATAGTAATTATGGTGATTATTATTATCAGAGGGATGTGCTCCACTGAATAATTCAGTTTCTTGCATGGTGGGTCCTTAAAATAAGTTTGAAAAAAGGATAAAAAAAAGAGATTAACGAAGATTTAAATGAAAGTCAGCGGACTCAGTCAGTCAGTTAGCTACAACGTAGGACCAGGCACATATATGCATCGGTTCAAGTTGTCACATCACATTAGCATAACAAGATGAACACAAGATTCATAGAACTAGTCACTTCTATGGTAGTAATATATAAAAGAAAGATCAAATATAAGGATATACAGTACAGGAAATAGTTGATAGGAAGAAAGATATGAAGCAATTTAAATCTCATAGTTTAAAGGAAGACAAAGAGTGTATACACCTACGCCATTGTGATCGATTCTGAGGCATGTCACCCACAGTCTCCAACCATTGGTTACGATAGTCATGAGAACCCCAATCAAGTAATCTGCATCTACGTGGCTCACACTGTAAGTTAGTGACTTCAAGCACTGATGCAACGTTTTGGTTTAGCCGCCTCTAACTTTCTCCCAACCATCACCAACTCCAGTCAGCATTGCGCATCGTGGTAATTGGTGTTCAGGCATACGCAACACGTGGCCCAACCATCTCAATCGATGAAGATTCATAACCTCATCAACTGACTTTCCATCATTCCCTAATACACTGCGTCTAATCTCACTATTACTTACCTGATGAACCCAGCAGATGCCAGAAATATTTTTAAGGCATCTGTGGTCAAGTACTAGTAGCTTACGAGTATCCTCCACTCTTCATGTCCATTTTTTGCAGTCGTAAAGTAGAACAAAACGAAGTGCTGCACAATATACTTTTCCCTTAATTGATAGGCGGATATCTCGCCTTCGTCATAGGTGACCTAAGTTGGTAAAAGTCAAACGAGCTTTCTGAATCCGTACAAAGATTTCGTCAGACACAAACCAACTCACAGTCCAAGTCAGTAGACTGTGAGTCATTAGCAGTGTAGAACATGAAATAGATGTGCATTATTTAAGGTTAGCATACTTTATCAGCATAGTGAGATAAAGTTATTAAGATAAATGACACAGTAAGCCTGGTTGTAGAAGTTAGTACGATTCGGGAATGACCGAGAATGAACTGGTGTAATAAAAATGAGAAGTATTTTAAGAAAAAGAGTGAATACATTTAAATAGTGACCGATTTTGAATTATGTCATATTATGTCTCTAACATTTGATCACGATAATACGATGAATCACATCCAAGTAGTCTGAAGTTAGGAAGAGGGCTTATTTCTGATAAACCTTTCAATCGAACGCTTGATTCGATTTCCTAAGCTCTTCTAGTACCCCATAGGACAAATATGCACGGCAACTTGAATACGTGAGAAAAGACGGTAAATATGGATAAAGCGCTTTACCGTAATGTTAGTTTATGAACAGAAAATCGAGGATATTTATAGCATCTCAGGTGGCCTTAGGCTTCTGGAAAGTTGTGGAACCCTTCTAAATATAGTAGCAAGGTAGGTGATTATCCAGTCAGAAAAGTGATATGTGACTCTTCCCTTTCTAGATACTTTTATTGAATGCTGATTAGGTAAGATGTTTTCAAGCGTTTTCAAGGCCTCTTTAGGCTTTTTTCGAGGAATTTTCTGCGTCTCCTCAAAAATTTTAACAGTTAATGACTTCATAAACCGGTGTCATGTATTCAATTGACAGCATCTAACTTTCTTTTGACGTATTTCTTCACCAGACAAAGTCCCCCGTTTAACTGAGCAATGACTGAGAATATAAAAAAACATGTCTTAAGTAGCTCAGGCGATAAAGATTCACAATCTTATCAACCGATTTATTATCTTTGTCTAGTAACCTCAGGTCAGTAAACAGACATTATTGATCTTCAGTTGAATAAACTAGTAGTTGCCATTAATGAAAATTATTAAATCATCCTATTGTTGATCAGTGGGTTCGATCTATTCAAGAATGCCTATATCAGTGTACAAACAACGTTTAGGTAGGTTGCTCGATTGTTAACTTTCTAGTCAATTTCTAGGCTTGATCAGTAAATAGATAAAGTCAATAATATAATTGACTTACTGGCCATACACACACAGGATGTATATATATATCAAAAGCCAATGATCAATTCAAGTCCTTAACGCCAATGGGAAAATCCAAACAACTAATAGAATATGTATATTAGAGCGTTTCTCGTAATCCTTATACGGGTATACTTTATTGTTACACTATTTGATTGATGGATTTTATAAACGCTTAAAATATTATACTGGTAAAATTTTCTGGTTATTGTTTGTAAATTTGCTTGAAATCCATAATAAGCCATCGTATGAAATTCCCATATTTAACTGCTTATTTTAAGTTATCTAACAAAAAAAAATGCGTTCAGTAATATCTGGTCAACTATGTGTACTGATAACTTGCCCCTAAATTCCCTGGTATGGCCGAAGATGGGGAGAATCGGCTCTCGCGTATATAGCCTCTGCCAGGGAAGTCCTACTCACTACCTTCTCGTGTCATTACTGTTGTTTACGGAATTCAGAGGATTAAATGCAAATGTTCGGCGCTTTGACAGGTTTGGTGGACACGGAGAGTACACCTAGGTTAGTTAGAAAACCTTCATTCCAAACCAATAGTCACTGGCTACTATGGGACTGCATCTCCGTACGTTGCTTCACTGCCTTGTGGGTCAGACCTTGAGGTCAAAGGCTCCAGTTGTAGCCCCCTGAGAAAACTGTCTGATTCGGTTTGGGCACCCGGGCAGTATCATAGCCCAAACACATGTAATGACATAGTTTTATCAAGAGAACGCGACTGGTTTAATGGAAACAATTATTATTATAACCAATTGTATCAGTGATTGTTTTACTGTACTTGCTTGTTTAACTGTACTAAAGACATTCTACCTTCCGTTGATTGTGACCTCGCATGCACTTACGTTTGCTCAATGATTCCGCTTGTATTCCTTTGGCACGATCTCGGTATTCTTCGATACCACGAGATCGCCAACAAATATATCTCGCTACAACCTCCAATCGCCTTCTGATATCTGGTACGCAACCTTCTTGTAGTGGTGATCATAGTCAACAACGAAGTGACTTGTGTGGCACATATCTATCTGGTACCCCTTTGTACCAATATTTATATGTTCAAGGAAATAACCGAAAACTCACAGAAGAAATCAGAAGCCTTATCTTAAGCGTAGTTCAGCCACAATAACCAATTGCACTAGTGATCCTAAAGTTCTGAAAGCTTCATGGAGAAGATTTTGACAATTCCCGAGTTTGAATATTCTAATTAGAACGAAACTATTCCTTTAAATGTATATTAGATATTTATATGTAGTAATAAGCAAGGCCAGACAGATTACATGATATCGCAAAAGCACATGATAAATAAAATGTAAGCTGAACTAGTCCAAGTAAGTGAATAATTCATTTGACCAAGATCAAAACGTCCAGGATGTCAATCTATAAATTTGTGTAGTCACTTATAAATATGCATAGGTTGGAAGCATTATTACTTGGCTACTATTTTCTATCTCAGCATATGTGCCTTGGTCAAGTTTCAAGAGTGTGAATACTGACTGCACAGAAATGTAGATCATGAAATTTGAATTATACTACTCATTTTGATTGAATAAGGAAAATTATATATTTCAAATTATTTTTTGTTATAATATAGACTCATGAAAGTTAATTGATCAAAGTTGACAAGACAGAGTTCAATATGCACTACTGTGAAGTAGTAGTATTGGTAGTATTACATGAAATTTAAGCAACAATCACACACTGAATATACAAATAAAAAACTTAGCAGTTGAATTCATGAGTCGATTTAACCTAGACCATCATGGAAAACCCGGAAGCACTGGACTGCCGTTTCTTCCTAGTTTGGGACTCTTTAACAGTGCGTATCCACGATCCCACTCAAGAGATTCGCGCACTAACGCTTAACTTATAGACCACCAAGCCGACCGGCATATAACGGTGTTAATGTCTAACTTAAATTAATCCACGATATTGCGCCACCGTCCACCATTATCTTTAGTGAGTTACTATCTCACAACAGACACGATTGAAGTCCATTGGTTTAAAGGATAAGCGTTCACTCGCGAAGCCGAAGGTTTTGGGTTCGAGTCCCTCCTCCGAGGGATCGTGAATGTGCACTGCTGAGGAATCCCATATTAGGACTAATCGACCGTCCAGTACTTCCAGGTTTTCAATGGTGGTTTAACTTAAATTGACTCATGAATTTAACTATTAAATTATTACAATCTCCACAAACCCCCATTCTGAAAATAAAAAAAAGTAATAAATCAAGTAAACTAACTAGAAAGATTAGCATATATAACGTCGGGATTTTGTCCACGAGTATCTAGAGATGACGAAGATGGTTTGTTCAGTGAACTTTTATCAATAGTAATTGGTTGTTCAAAAAATGAACCTTTGGATACCTAGAAATAAAAAGTAATTTATTCATATTGAACTTAATTTATAATACAGAGAATTTATTTGCAAAATGATCAAACTGACAATTCCAGGATATTCTAATATGGGTCAATTTAAAAACGGATGTTTCACAAAGAGATCTTTGCTAAATGGTTTAGAAAAATGGTATACATAAGCACACAGTAGTGTACAACTCATGGGCCTATATACTAACTAAAGTGTTATTATTACATTCAAAGAGTTACAAAATTTCCTGTCAAATGTGAAACCCATTAGCCAGATAAATTGAATTCAAAATCTGTTATTCATTAAACAAATGATATAGGTGAGACTATAATATACGGACGAGCCAATTAGAAGTGTTTGGGGGATTTTAAGGTCACGGTGTCAACTTCAGTACTTAATGCTAATGTACGATCGGTTCACAGGGGATTTTATACAAAACGTGATAATTGAACGGCTATAACGAATAAAACTGCGAGACTAGAATTTGTGGACGAACAAATCAGTATAAGATAACATATCTCGGATTTTGGCTCGAAAGTCTTGCATCCATTCGGCTAGATAGAGTTTTGGCATTATAGCTGATGTTAGTTCGTGATGAAAACCCTATATATAATCCCTATCTAAGGCAAACCATGACAGTTATTGCGAACTAGATAATAAAAGCGCCAGTAACACTGGCTGCAACCAGGTACTATAATATATACGGACGAATGGAGAGCGTACAGATGCCTACATAGACTTGGTTGTGTACATCGTGTCGTTATCCACAATTGGCATCTTATGAAACCAATAACCGAAGTGCGTACAAACAATATTGAATCTATGTGGTCGAGGCTGGAAGTTTTTGCGACCTTGTCATGGCTCCAAAGGCCGACTATTATGAAGCCATATAGATGATTTCCTCTACTGCATACATTACGATTTTAGAACCTCTGAACCACTTTCTAACCTTGACAAGTTTTTGAACCATGTAAAAGAAGTGTATCCACTTTATTGCCTTGGTTTTGTATAATATATTTTTACTCTATACTAACTGTTTGCTGATTGGCTAATATTTTTCAAGGTCACCTAAGATTCGTTGAAAGGTCGTCCATAAATTAGAGTCTCACCATGATTTACTGCCGGCAATTTCGTTAGGCATAAAATCAAATGGTATTTATCAAATCATAAATGTAAAGATGACAAATTAATAACGTTTAATTGAAGAGCATATCCATCAACCAGAACACTCTATTACTTTGTCAAGAGAACAATACGAGGATCATGCTGTTGATTCGATAATATCCCATAGACAAAAATGAGTAATATTCTATTTTGATATTCAAAAATAAATGAGAATAATCATGAAAAAGGTCAAATTACGGACATCTTGAGAAGAATGGAACATTACGTAATGATAGTCCTACCGATTGACGATTCTAGAATACACAGACTGTGTGAATTGTCCGAGATACATAGGCTCATTCTAAACAGTGATTAATACATTCCATCCAAATCACAAAAATAATTTTAAAATAGGTATGTAAGCGAACCCTGTGTGTAATAGCAGCAATAGTAGTACAGAAGTTTATTGAGATTGCTTGATCCAATAGTTTGAATGGAGAACTAATTTGATCTTAAGAACTTCCAGGAGTTATAAAGTACAAGATTCAATCGAGGATAGAAGTCAGAAGCTTCAAGTCATATGGAGATGGATTAATAAGCCTCAGAACACTGAGTTGGCATCCAATGGTTTGCAAGTCTAACTTCAGTTAATTCGCGATATTCCATAGCCATCTTTCAATGCCACCGGTAGGTAACTGGTAGATTGAACTTCATTGGTTATGGATGCTTAGTAGAACTGTGGGAATTACCTCTCACAACGACCCAAAAGTAATGTAGGGCATGAGACCCACAAATGTCCATAAATCCTCCATATTAACTAAAACTATCTACTCGCTAGTGTCTAAGTTGAGAGGAAATTTTCTGAGTTGTAGTGAGAAGCAGTAATCACTTGAGTGCAATCGAGTTCAGGAGTGAAACAAGTAATGCATGTTGCAACGAATGGTAATCGCAAACTAACTGAAGTTAGAAGACTGAACCATCGAATTTCGCCACAGTAGTTTAAAAATTCTGAGTTCAATCTTCTGTAAGGTCATCGATCCACTGGTCAGTGAGTGTTTCCTGGCTTTCAATGTTTCTCTATCCGATGTCGGCTCATAACAACAAAAAATTGCAATTAGATAAATAAACCGGAAAAATAGTTAATACAACATACTTCGTTCCTTCCAAATTCGTTTCTGTTAAGTTTCTTTGGTGAAACATCATTATTTCTATACAGATCGCCTTGATTGAACTGACCCGGATCTGTTGTGAAATCAATATTCTCAAGTAAATCATCGAATTTTTGTCGAATATTATGATTATAATTTACATATTTTAATTCGTCTGAATCTTTTTCTTTTAGGAGAAAACAGAATATGAAGATAATTTTTCAAGTGAATTATGAAATAAATGTTTGGTATCAACTAATGAAATTTGAAAACTTCTGAACACTTTTGTTTTATGGTTGAGATCATGAACCGATTGATGTTAGACCACCATTGAAAACCTGGAAGCACCGGACGGCCATTTTGTCGTATTGTGGGACTACTCAGTGGTGCGCATCCACGATCCCGGGGGCGGGATTCGAACCCAGGGCCTTCAGTCTCGCGCACGAACGCTTAACCTCTAGACCACTGATTTGTCCAGCACCCAACGGTGTTAGTGTCTAACCTCAACCAATCCTCAAAGTTGCGCGACCATCTTCTATTGTGCTGAGCTGAATACCTGTCTCTACTCGGCACAGATTAGCTCCACTGGTCACGGCTTCACAGTAGAACTCCGAGAATTCCCTCACGAAGCTAGTCACTAGTGAGCACATGGTAATTATCAGTATAGGGTTGTGGAGATTTTTGAGTTTTTTATTGAGATCATGAAATGGCCATCCAGTGCTTCCAGGTTTTCAATGGTGGTCGGTTTATGATTTCAATTAAAAAACATCCAGTTAAAGTTAGTAATTGAGATTTTGAATCTTAATTATGAATGTTCCCCGAAGTTACTTTTATGACTATGAAATGTGGCTTATAAAATAGAAGATATTCGTAAGATACTGGGGGGGGGGCTGATTATAGATGTATTTGAAGTAACCAATTTATTTGTTTGCAACAATGAGTGAGCAGTAGTGAGGTTAGATACAAGGTACCTTGTAAATGACGAAAAATTAGTTAATAAGGTAGTAAATCTTTATTAACCAGTGCGCCTGGAATATATGCTACGTATGTTCAACCACCGCCTAATTCGACGCGCCATGTTGGGTGAACGAAAGCTAGACGTGGTCAAACGACGACATGGCATTATTTCACGTCATATTGGTAGATGCAAACTACCTGGTTGTGTTCACATAATAACTGCGTTTAGTGGTTGGAGATACTAAGTGACATGGTTTAGAATCAGTTGCAGTGACGAAGATGCATTCACTTTTTATCTTCAATTTGATTTTGAGATTTGAAATAATCATAATCATTCTTTCTTCGGGAAATATATCGTAAATGTTTAATCTTTTATACTATCACGAAAACAGTCATTATTTCTACTTCTATGTCATTTGATTTGAGCTATGATTAGGTATTGAGTGTACTATATCCTTATATGCAATCTTTCTTTTATATATTACCACCTCTGAATTGACTACTTTTATGAATCCGGTGTTCATCTTGTTGTGCTAATGCGGTATGGCAACTTGGACCGATGCATATATATACCTGGTCCAACGTTGTAGCTGACTGACTGAGTGAAAATAGAAATATACGGGGATAATTAATATATTAAAATTATATCGTATTGTAAATTCATTCTGCTTAAACTTTAACCTGTATTGATTGCCTGTGCTTTTGTTAATAAACTGTTATGTTGGCTCAAATTTTGATTCTCGATCGTTGATCAGAACTAGATATTATGCGACCTGATCTAGTAGTTTAATTATTTAACATCATAGTCTAGTGTTCATAGTCTTTCATCTAGAGTATTGAGTTATGTCATTTATTATCAAATGCATAAACGCGAAATTATAGCCTTTTCAATGTAATGACAACATTTGTCTTAATATCTTCGCATTGCCGAATTAATATGATGTGACAATGTGACGCAATACATGAAAGTCCTAGCTACTACGTTGCTTATAACTAACTGACTGAAGAATCGATAAAAAAAACTAGAGAATTTTTTATTTATTTAAACACATAGATATTGGTACAAGGAGGCACCAAATACATATGCGCCACATAAATCATTCAATTTGTGTGAGGGCTGTGATACTGCTCGGGTGCCCAGACCGAATTAGTTGGTTTTCTTAGGGGGCCACACCCCGAGCCTTTGACCTAAAGGTCTGACCCACAAGGCAGTGGAGCATCGTAAGGAGATGCAATTCCATGGTAGCCGGTGACCAACGATTGGTTCATACGCCATTTGTTTTATCAGGATACTGGGGCCCATGTGCACCATTGGTTTGGAATCCGGTTAAAGCGCCGGACATTCGCTTTTCGTCCTCTCAATTTCGTGAACAACACCTCCACCACGAGAAGGTAGTGAGTAGGACTTCCCTGGCAGAGGCTGTATACGCGTGGCCATGTGAGAGCATTTCGAGAGGGAGGGAGGGCCCACCCCACCCTCGGCCATACCACGGCATTCGGGGGCAAAACTAGAGAATATTCCTCATTAACCAAAATCACACAAAAAATTGATCTGAAAATTACCAAGTTTTATCATGACAATGATACCTTTCATTCTTCGATTGAGTACACAATAGTTTGTGATTTAGTTGACCAACGTTCATTGACACCTTTGTTTCATTATTTTCAGATTATTTAACTGACATAAGCATTTTATAACATTCATAACTAAGTGTCATTAATGCCAATGTTTGAAATACTTAATCTTTTCAATATATCAGATGGGTTTTATGGATATTATAGTAATTTCAATGGTTAAGATCATGAGTCAGTTGAAGCTAGACCACCATGGAAAACCTGGAAGCACTGCCGTTTAGTGCTTCCAGATTTTCAATATATGTCAAATTATAGACACCCTATAGATAAATACAAACAATTCTCAATGACTTATTTCTAAATAGAATACTTTACTTACCAAATGCAGAATACTTTGAATATTCAGAGGACAATATATCTGGTTTAAATTGAAGATGATCTATATCATGAGATGGTTTTAAATGATTCAAAGTCTATTTTTATCAATGATAAACAGAAAACAAAAGACAAATATTAAAGACACATAGAATGAGTTGAAATGGTGAGTAACGTTTTATGAAAATTGGATAGTGGCTAACGGTAGCAACAAGGAAACATGTTTTATCTTATTTGAAACTCATCAGCTGAATGTGTTTACATCTCACTGTTGCTATTCACATTGAGAAGCAAACTCAGTACCTTTTGCCTCAAAGGATATCAATGCTAGCTGTTACCCAACTTTAACAAAAGCTTGTGATTAAACGGAAATATGAAGGCAATTCACACAGCATGCATAAGTGTCAACAGAAATCTATAGACTGCAGTCCTAAACATTAGCTGAATAGCCATTGTAAACCCGAGAAGTGTTGGACTGTAATGTTTACGCTAGTCTGTGACTCTTCCACAGCAAGCGTGTACGACAATTGGAGTCAAGATTGAAACTATGATCGTCATGTCTTGTCGTGATCATGTTACCTTGATATCATTAGGTTGGAATCCTGTAGTGTCAGTCATTATTTTAAGCCCATATACCTTATTCTAGTTTTCGGACATTCCATTCTATTCATTCTACTTGAGTCATATTTTGACCTTGTTAATTATTCGCTTATTAGCCTTGACTGTTTTTATATGAGCGTATATGTGTGTGCCCTTCTTATCCCATCAATCACATGTCTGTAGCTTAATTTTGTCTGACTATAAATATTGAGCAACGCTTGACTAAAATGGAGTTGGCTTCCTAGCCATTTTCCCTGCGCGTCATTTTGCTCTGTTCTATTACATTCACTTTACATACAAAATATGTGTATTCAAAATCCCATTCTCGTTAATTGACTTATCTAAATTCCGTTATTGACTAACGTGATTTAAGTCGACGATAATATACGAGAACTGGCGATAACAAACATCCATACAATCTAAAATGGAGTCGGAAACCACGGGCCACTAAAACCCAATACTTCCAAATTTAAGCTGTTTGACCGACAATCCCGCGGGCTGCGGGATCGTGGATGCGCACTGCTGAGGAGTCCCATACTAGGACGAAACGGCCGTCCAGTGCTACCAGGTTTCCAACGATGGTCTAACATCAATTAATTCATGATCTCAACCAAAAACTTAACAATCTCCACAACCCCCATACTGATAATCATATTTGACATGTTTCTTCGAAGTATAATTCCCTACTGTCTCCAAACCAAGTGAATTGAAATTCACCCCATTGTAAAAGCAAGTGGCTGTCAGGACTCAGTAGCTGACTGGATAATGCGATGGCGTTTCAAGCGAATGGTACCGGGTTCGAGTCCCAGAGTGAACATCAACTCTGAGATGCAGCTACATCCAGCTGATGAGTCGCAAATAGGACGGAACGCGCGTCAAACTGGATTCCACTGCTAGCCACTATCCATCATTAATCACTGAGTATGTTTTAAGTTCTATGACAAGACTGTACACACACACAAATCTATCAAGAATTAGACTGTAAAAGTTTCAATCCTAGAAGTGAATGAGTTCATTTTCATATTCCTTAAATTAACATCTAATAATAAGATTAATAGTTTATAGGATCATAATCAAACAAAAAGTACCTTTCGTTTGGATAAATCATAATTCCATTCATTAATTTGATTCACTTCATTTGTAGAATATTCATGTAAAGGTTTCTTTTGTAATTCATTATAAATTCTTTCATTATTTTCATAATGATCATGATCTTCCATATCATCATGGAAGTATTTTGATGATAATTCAAATGATTTTCTTAAAGGATTATTCATTTGAGGTGTCTTGATTGATGTGATCGGTTTCTCAGAATAAGATCTTGATCGAATTGGTGGGTTACTAAAATTCAATGGTTTATGTCTTTCATCTTGTAATGGTTTCAATGTATTTTTCATAAATAATGTATCATTTGGAAATAAATTCAAATTTTCTGGGATACTTTAATTGAAAGAGAAAAAAAAAGAAAAAAATTTTTTTTAGAATTAAACTTTTATTTCTTTGTATAACCATCCCCCCCCTCACCCTCAAGTCTCATAGATAAGTTGCCACTAGTAACTAACTCAAAGTTTATCTATTAGTTTACTAGCTCAAGTAGAACTAGGCAAGTCAATTGTTCGTCTAGGTTATGTCTGCACTACATTCGGGTACATTCACCAGTTTGTCTTAGCATAATATAACACTGTATAACAAGTAGAAAATTCAAACCATTCGATTTAACATTTATTAGTTGATATTAACAATTATAGGATCCAATCAAAGTGTTGTGCGGATATACGCTTAAACTTACCATAAATTATTGAATCATTAGCTATATATAGTTTTAAACCAAAGTTGTGTATCACAAAATGATTCATTATATCAGAAGGGGTTTTGTAGAGATTTTAGTCATTTCAATAGTTGAGATAATGAGTCAATTGAAGCTAGATCACCATGGAAAACCTGGAAGCACAGGACGGCTGTTTCGTCCTATTGTGGAACTCTTCAGCAGTGCATAACCACGACCCCGCCCCACGGGATTCGAACCTAGGACCTATCATGCTCGCGTGCGAGCACTAAACTACTAGATCATTGAGCCGGCCGGTAGCTAACAGTGTTAATGTCTAACTTCAACTAATCCACGAAATTGAGCGACACATCCACCATTGTCATCAGTCAGTTACTATTTCACAATAGACCCGGTTTCATTATATCTCTCTCTTTACCAAAAACATAATATATTCATTTGAACTGTTCGTTCTACCAAAATATAATTGTATCTTATCATTACTATTATTATTACACAAGTCGTTTCGACTAAGAATTATTGATTATCATCTATATCATAAACAAAGATAGATGATGGTTAACAATGGAATCCAGGAGGCATATTTCATCCTATTTAGAACTCATCAGCTGGATGTTCTTCATTTCAAAGTTGTAAAATCAGTTAGACCCATGTCAGTTTGTACAACTTCTATTCACATCTAACTGTATTTTTTTTTTGAAATTCTTTTCTATTATAAATTGAAACATGAAACTTGATTCAAATAAGTTTAACAAACCTTCGAAATGTTTTAATTCCATCTTCATCTTCACTTGGTTCCTTGTCACCATTATCATAATGATCTTTATGATGAATATTGTATGATTTATTTTTTATTGATGATTGTGAATAATGGTCAAATGCAGTATTTGGACGTTTATATACATCATCATAGAATTCAGCATAATCAGATTCAGTTAATTTTCGTCTCATTGAATTATTAGCAGATTTTGACTGACGATTATGTATATTATCTTGATGTAATCTACGTAATAAAGTAGCTGATGGTGCTTTGGAATTAAATTTATTTGACTAAAACAAAGTAGAAAATTTGATGAGACTATCGGCACTGTTAAAATAACCTTGGAAATGTTCATCTACTTTATCAAGGTTAAATAAGATTTGCAAATTAATGCGAAGAACTAGGATTAGGATTTTGTTGAGTCGACTTTCGGCGAACTTCAACGGAGCCTCTAGAGGCCCAAAAAGAGCTGAAGAGTCCTAGCCAACCAGAGCGTGATGGAGCATTCTAGAATTCCAACGTGGCGTGCTACTATTGGTCAGTAGCATAATATGTCGGTAACGGATTGGTCGATATATGATGTTGATTTAACAATCGTTAACATTTATAAATACCCATGTTTTCTGTACAAAAACGAACCTTGGAGTAAAGTGTCTCTCTCATACTTTGCGTCTTCTTTCTGGTGTTCAGGTCGCTGTATAAATCTAGCGTGTGGGTTATCAGAATAGCTTAGGAACGAATATAGCGTCGTATCAGCAAGACTTAACAGATTTACAGTTGAACATTAAGGTTACAAATAAGATTCAATGATTTCATCACGAACTGACATCAACTTTAATGTTGAAATAATATTTAACCAAATGAGTAGATGAACCTCGAGCCAAAATCTAAGACCTGCTATCTTAAATCTGATTGGTTCGTTCATAAATTATTTCTGGTTGGTTAACTATAAATAATTCAATGTTCAATACGTTGATTATTGCACAAATTCAACTTGTTAAAGGGACATGAAATAATATGGTTACTGAAAGAAGATGAATATTCAATGTACATGATATGTCTGATCAACAGAAGACTAGAAATACATCAATGTTTTGAGATCTAGATAGTGGTTTAAGGTAGTCAACAGACCTAGACCTAGACTGGTGGCCACATTTCAACATGATCGATAGCATTCGATCTGCACTAATAAGGACTAGACACGCATGACATTGATCGCCACCCAGTGGTCAATCAATTGTGATTACATCTCAGTCCTATAGGAGGTTAGTCGCGGCTCGGATAGCTCAGTGGTAACGTCTCTGACTGTGAAGCTGGGTGACACGAGATCGAATCCGCCAGGGAGCACCTGTTCCCTCAAGATTACAGGTACACCTTGCTGACGAGTGCCAAGTAGCACGAAACCCGGGTCCAGGGTTTCCTGGTGACTACCTCCGACCACCATCTAAATCTCAATATATAGTGCCCACAGTGTCGAGTCACCCAGCCTGGTGGCCACATTGCAACATGATCGATAGCATTCGATCCGCACTAATAAGAACTAGACATGCACGACATTGATCACCACCCAGTGATCAATCAATTGTGAATACATCAATGTTTTATCAAAACTTGTTGAAACTTCTAAAGACATTCACCGATTACTTTTTTCTTAGAAAAAAATATTATTTCAAGTGAATCAAATGGTCAAGTGAGAGTAGTGCAATCTGTAGAGATAGCATACAATCAAGAACACTGTCAATTTCTTGTGTTGATAAAAATATCACTTGTGATTTCTGATTGTTAGTTCAGCATTGGCAATAGATACCAATAAATCCTTTATACGGCCCTAGACAAAAATTTAAAATGATATACAGCGTGTAATAATAATGATGACGATGATACAGTTGAAGAGTCTAACATCTGGAAACATACATGGATACTTTGAGTAAAACAAAAAAATGGTGATGATACAACTATACAGTCACAAACGGAAAGTATTTTGAAGAAAGTTACGATTCATTAACCATAAATCATTAAAATAAGTAACAATTAACGAATCTATGAGACTATCATAGAAAGTATCGATAAGTAGTAACTCAGAAATTATAACATCAAGCAGAAAACCAACATGCAGATATGAGTAGGAATCGGAAAATCTAATATTAAAAATCTAGACCCATTCAAATGCTTAGAGATAGGCTGTTAACTTAAATTTGAACAGTATGACATTTTTAAGTTTACCGTTAATCAAACGCTTTTCCAGGATTATCATGAAAATTTTATCAGTTAGTTATTCATTAAAAAGAATATCTATCCAATGATTGAATATTCAGGGCCCCAGAATGCCCTTGTATGGCCAAGAGTGGAGAGAGTTAGTTCTCTCTCTCTAGATGCTCTCACATGGCCACCCGTATATAGCTACTGTTGGGGAAGTCCAAATCACCACCTTCCCGTAGCGGGGTTATTATTTACGAAATTCAGAGGACGAAAAGCGAATGTCCGGCGCTTTAACTGGGTTGGTGGACACGGAGAGTACACCTAGGGGAGTTGGAAAACCCTCACTCCAAACCAATTGTGCACATGGGCTTCAGGATCCTGATAGAACAGATGGCGTATAAACCAATTGTTGATCATCGGATAACATAAGACTACATCTCCTTATGTTGTGCCACTGCCTTGTGGATCAGACCTTTCGGTCGAAAGCTCCGGGTGTAGCCCCCTGAGAAAACCACCTGGTACGGTTTGGGCACCTGGGCAGTATCATAGCTCACACACAAATGAAGTGACTTGTGTGGAGCATAGATATTCGGTGCCCCTTTGTACCAAATATTTATATGTTTAAATAAATAAATAATAAATAAAATGAAATAACACACGAACCATATATTAGTGGCTCAATATTAATTGAAAACTGGTAGTGAAGTACTTATTCAAGGTAAAGAGAACCAAATAAATCTCAGCTAGATGACTGAATTGAATTTCAAGCATTTATCGGTTAATTGTCGAATGAATGAGTATTCACTGTTAACAATTTAAGCTACTTACAAGTAGAGATGATATTGGTTAGCAGTAGAATTCAGGCCGCTCGTTTTGTTCTTTTTGGAACTGGTCAGCTGGATGTAAATTCATCCCAGAGTTGATGTTCACTCTGTGACTTGAACCTAGTAACGTTCACTTAAAACTCCATCAAGCTATCCACTTAGTTCCAAGAAGGACGAAACGCGCATCCTGGATTCCACTACTAGCCATTATCATCTATGCTTATAATACTTGTGACTCAACTCAATATTGAAACAATCCGCACATGATTTACATATACCAATAAGAGACTGATCCATTACAGTTCTTAAAATCAATCAGAAGATTCAAATAACCAATACAAAGATGTACTAACAAGTAGTTTACACACAAATATAAAAATACATTATTCTATTACTTGTTCTGTAGGCAATTTATTTCGTTCAGTTAATCGAATTGATTTTTGTGTATCCTTCAATTTTCTATGAATCAACTGATGCGGAGCACATAGATTTTCAATATTAGCTAATTCTTGTTCCAAACGTTTTCGTTGTAAACGAATTTCTACCGGTTCAGGCATATTATCTAATTTTGGTATAATCGATGTATTCAAGTTATTGAAAGGTGATGTTGATGGTGACGGTGATGATGAAATAGGTGTTATTGGTTGACTGAAATGATTTCCATCAGATAGAGGACTTGTACGATGTAGAGAATGACGTAATGAATTATTTAGAACACGAGCAATTTCACGTTCTTCAATGTCACGAGCAAACTCTAAACTTGGCTTTGATGGAACAATCTCATGAGAGGGTAATAGATGCTATTTTGATGATTAAAAGAAGACCATGCAAAAAAAGTTAATCAAAGAAAATTACGAAAGTTCATTAATTGGCTATCTTATATCATGAACTGACTAAAAAAGAGGACTTTTGAAAACTTGAGTTCAAATCAGTGGATGAGTGGTGTTATTGTCTTTGCCACGATACACAAATGCACTCAGTCGATGTGCACCAAAACACCGATCAAGTGTTTCATGGTTTTCTAGTCTCAGTTATGGCACTCTTTTATTACTGTTTTAATCTACCAACAGGTCATTAGCGCACGTTTTATATCACATAATCTAGTCGGCCTTTCTGACTGCATTTTATCAACCAAGTTATGTTAATTAACATTGTGATGCACTGATACCAAGCCGAATCAACCACTAGGCTGAACTATTTTTAATTTAGACAAAAAGTCATTAAACGTTGAAAAAAATTGCCGAATATCATCAATGTTGAGGACGATCAACACTGTTTCCTATTGGATAGATAATTTCAGCTGAAGGAGTTTGATGGCTATAGCTTCAGAGAATCTAAAAAGACAGAAGTTTGGTTGTAGATTGATGATGCAGAAAACAGTTGGGTCTTCCAACCTGATGCCTTTAGCAGACAAATGTCAATCCATATACACAGTTGGTGGTAACTTTATGAATTAACTGTTTCATGGTGGAAATCTCTAAAGATAATATTATTAACATCATTTATTGTAACACTTTAGTATTGAAGTATTGATTCATATTCTCGATAGTTCCTTGAACAAAAAGAGGGGGGATCGGCAATGTTCATACTTGTTGTCTAGTGGCTGAAGGTCAAGTATTCTGACCATTAAGTCAAACCTGCATCAAACTCTAGTTTGGATAAATCTTCATTTAATAACATAATTGAATTGTCAAATAAGTATTTAAACCCAATTCATCATGATTTTACACTGGTTAGACACTTCTTTACCTCTCTTCGCAAAAAAAAGAATACTATTCTGTCATCAAAAGATATTCAACAGAATACAAATAACTTACTCTTCGATATTCACTAGCAAACAATACATCATCACCACCGTAAACATCACCCATACGGATCATATTATCAAGAAATTTTATTAATGGGTCTGATAATTTCAACTGACCAATTACATCATTCAATTCAGACTGAATTACAGCTATATCTGATTTTGCTTCTTTTGTATTTCTAAAATTGAATTTCAGAAAAGGATTTCAAGGTTAGGTGAAAGGATTTTGTAGTGATCAGTCAGATATTGATTTCAAATAAGGTACTATTGAAAATTATGAATCATTAGATGACTACTCTCTTCTCGTATGGGGCTCCCACCTGTAACCGAATTCTAGGTCCCCAGGTCTCACGATAAACGCCTAACGATTAGACCCACTGAGTTGGCGCCTATCAAGGCAGTTCCAGAGTTAATCGGCTTTTCAATAAAGTGCAACGACCATCCGATGATATTGATGACAGCTGTTTCTTTCTTGTCATGTCCAAATATCCCGGTCTCGATCCTTTATAGGGTTATGGGTGTGCACTGCTTAAAAGTCCCATTCTAGAATGAGATCCCTATTTGACAACAATGATTTATACAATAAAATAAACTCTACAAAATTCTTTACTTAAATTAAAGGAAATGATTTTACTGTGTTGGTTTTGTTTGTTGGTATGCATGGATATAATTAGTGAAAATCAGCGAATGTGGTTCACATGAATGAGTAAAATAAAACATTAATCAAAAGATGAATCACCAGGCAGACTAGAAACTACAGGACATAGGAGACTAAAGGTCAAAGACGCAATTACAAAATGTAAAACTTTGGTTTAAGTTTTCCACGCAAAGGTCATTGAAAATAAGGACAAGATAATAAGAATGAATATGTTCTGATATAACTAAGGTAACCTATTGAGCCAACCCAATTTGAACCAAGGACCTTCGGTTTCGCGCACGAACGCTTAGCATCTGGATCACTGAGCCGACATTTGATAGTGTTATAGTTTAACTTCAACTAATCCACGATATTTTGTGGTCGTTTATAAATTAAGAGTTCAGTGTGCTGGGCCGTGGATACACATTGCTGAGGAGTCCCATACTAGGACGAAACGGCCGTCCAGTCCTTCCAGGTTTTCAATGATGGTCTAACATCATTCGGTTCATGATCTCAATAAAAAAATTACACTCATCAGTTTGTCTGGTTTGATCTTCGTCAGGGAATGGATCAAAAAGTCAGAATTATCAAATGTAAGTGAAATCACAAAACAATTGTGTACAAAATAGTCTCATCCATAATAAATTTGGTTGGCATATTGAATTATCGATATGACAAATAGAAGTGATAGGTTAGTAATTTTCAATATGGCTGTTTGATTTTGCCATCGCGTGTCTTCTAGGCTACAACATATATGAGCGAACAATATTGTTTTGAATTAGATCCTCATCAGGTTTCACTCTAACATACAGTAATATTTATATATGCCTATACGAAATGATTAAACCAATCATTGATAGTTTATGAGTCAGTGATAACAGTGGAATAGATTACATAAATAAGTGAAAAGTACAAACTGACAATGTGACGACGGGTGTACTAGTTGTGATAAGAATAACAAAAGCTTCTATCAATGTTTCAATTAATGCAACTAACATCTGTCTATCGTGTTCAGCCGATATATGGTGATTCCTCAACTAAAGGATAAGTTAACTGTTTCTGCCACATCCATGTGTATCTGCGGATTCAGCTGTTCCTGTGTAGAGAGAGAGAGATTTTGGACGCACAACCAGACAACTGAGCCAACGAGTTAGTGTGCACCTCCCTTTGTAGTTAGGAAGGAGTATCGTCAAAACAATATGCAGGTCTGTTCTATCACACTTTATCGATAGTGGTCATGTACTAGATAGAAATAGGTCATTTAAAGCGAATTGTCGTATTCCTACTAGTTTTTCCTTATGGGGTTTGATTTCATCTATTAAACATAGCGGAAGATACAAGGATTCAAGGTAACAATCCGAGTCTCTGTATTCATTTGCAGTTTGAAACACCTTTAACTCTTCCTAGGCCGAATCAGCCATAACGAAATATTTTCTATACTCTTTATTCGTTTATTTTGCTTCATCCCCCCCCCACATTCTTTCTAAATAAACGCTTCATTGTCCAATTATCTGAGCAGTTCTTGTTATGTAATGTTGTTGTTTTTATGAGTATTATTCCAGCATTTCTATTTTTCAAGCCATTGACCTATTTCCCATTATGAAATATTGATTCAGATCTTTGTTATTCTTATCACAACTAGTACACCTATCATCACATTATCAATTTGCACTTTTCTAAGTATTGTGTTTGGATGAATCGTATATGCAACCTTAAAATCAACTTGTGAATCAGTAGAATGATTAGAGTCGATTAGATGTTCAAGGATGGAACTTCTAACTGCTTTCCTATCACCGTTGTAGAATCACACTGGGATATATTGCTGTATCCAAATTGAAAGCAAGCGCTGGCTACGGCTAATGTACCTTACTTATGTAATCCATTCGATTTTCATTATTGACTCATAAACTGCCTTGATTGATTTAGGAATTCCGTTTAATGTATATAAATATTATTGTATGTTAGAGTAAAGCCTGATGAAGATCTAATCGAAAACAATATTGTTCGCTGACTGAATTCAATGGACATTTTCCTTACAAATAACATATAACTATTGAAAGCGGTAAACAGACTAACATTGACGAAATAGATGTCGGCTGGAGATAAATTCCACGTTGTCAAATCATCTAAATGTACCGTAGCCAGTAATTACGGTTATGTTTAAGTCACTCAATTGTAGATATTTAGGAATGATTTCTATGACATGACTTTTGTTATGTTGTAATTTTTCTTCTATCAAAACTGACTATGTTATACTTGACACGTCCTCAGCATGATGGAGTGGTATTTTTATTGTAGAAAACTACATTTTTATGTAAGTCGGCATAAACGACAGAGGACGAAACACTCCTCTCATCATGGATCATTATAGTGTAAACAAGAAATCCTGCTTCATTTTAATGGATTATCAAGTGCAATGTCAAAATTACGAACGACAGTGAAGTTTATCCACACCTGGTCTTTCAAGTTTTAGGCTTAATGACGACCATAAATTGTCATTCATCAAACAAGATATCATATAATTAGGAAAACACGCTGAGGGTGGATAGGACATACATTACGGAAATCATCAAACTGCATCACGATGCAAGCGCTAACTTAGAATTCTGAAGGGATACAGAAAGGAGGAAAACCAAAGAATACATTGAACCGAGAATTGGAGGCAGGAACCCAAAGGATGAATAGCAACTGGAAGCGATTGGAAAGGATTGTTCAGGACAGAGTTGGATGGAGAATGTTGGTGGATGGCCTATGCTCTTCTACGAGAGGTAACAGGCGTAAGTAAGTAGATAGACAAGATGTCATATGAATGTATATAGGATTGTCAATAAAAATACGGTATCGTAACCAATAACACTTCATTGTTATCGCTAATGGATTACAAACTTACTAACTATACTTTTTGATAAATGTTAAGAAAGCAATGCTGGAAATAATAGTTTAAACTGGAACCTATAAATAAATAAATAAATAATTTAATGGAATATTCAATTAATTTCAATAGTTGAGATGAGTCAATTGAAGCTAGACCACCATGGGAAACCTAGAAATACTGGACAGCCGTTTCGGCCTATTTTGGGACTCCTCAGCAGCGCGTACACACGATTCCGCCTCGCAAGATTCTAATCCAGGACCTATCGGTCTCGCTCGCGAACGCTTAACCTCTAAACCACTGAGCCGGCACACAACGGTGCTAATGTCTAGCTCCAACTAATCCACGAAATTGAGTGACACATCCAACACTCTCTTCAGCAAGTTACTATCTCACAACAGACCCAGTTGAGATCCACTGGTCACTGCTTCTCAGTAGAAGCATTGTCAGTTGTCAAGTGAATGCTAATCAGTCCCAGACAAAATAAGATATGACAAGTGTATATCGGTCCATGTTGCGACACCGAACATAAATTCAAAAAAGAGGTCAATAAGAAAATGATAAACACTGGAAGGGAATTAGCGAAATTGATCGTAGTGACAGGTTAATAAGTTCAAAGGCAACAAATAAAATCCGAGAATGGAAAGTATGAAATGTCTCATTAAGCTCATGATTTAAATGAAAAAGAATGAATGTGACTTCACAACTATGGCAATTTTTGGGTCAAAACAGTTCAGGTCTTAAAATAGTAGATTGCGACGTTTCTGTCGATCTCTAACTCTAACTTCTGTCAACAACCGAAGTTGATGAATACTTTCAATATTATCAAAAAACCAACCATTTCTATTCATAAATAAGTTCAATCTCAACAATACTCAATCCATAGTTTCATTGCACGCGTTCATAGTTTCTTAGACTCTTGTGATCATATACTTGCAATCTATGCTAGTTGATTAATGTCGAAGATAATGTTTCACAGTTACAGTATATATTTACTCACTAATAGATAGGTAAACAGACATCTCATCTATTCCATAAGTGAAAAAATTTGGTAAAGAAAACTGAATAAGAATTAGTATATGAAGGGGTTTTGTGAAGATTGTATTAAGTTCAATAGTTGAGCATCATGACCACCATGGAAAACCTGGAAACACTGGACGGCCGTATCGTCCTATTGTTCGACTACTCAGAAGTGCGCATCCACGACAACGCCTCGCGGGATTCGAACCCAGGACCTAAGAATTGTACACCGATGTCAATAGTTTATTTAAAAGTTCCAAAAAATACCAGAGAGCTAACAAATAAAAATGTAAAAATATTCAATAAAAAAAAGAATCCCAATTACATTTACCCTTTTACTAATTGAATTTGATCGATTTGATAAGTGAAATATTCATACCATCTTTTTAGATTGGCTTTTTCACGATTTAATTGAAGAAGCAACAAGATGAGATCATCACGCTGAAAAGTAAAGAGATAGGAGGGAGAGAAATTGATTTGAAGAAAACTAAGCATATGTAAAGTTTGGTCCTTTGAAAATATGGTGATTATTAGAAAAAAACGTATATTAGGAGCTTGGACTCAGAATATTAAATGAAGGACACTTTTTGATAACGATGAACCATCTTCTATAAAAGGATGATCGTTAAATAGATAAGGAAGACTTCGTGAATGGTACATGAAATCAGGTAATGCGAACATATTTTCATCTACCATCAATCCAGTAAAACTAGTCTACATTTCCCAAGACTTTTCTTATAGTTCATACCACAAATTGACTTGAGTTAGACAGCTAATAAAAGCCAGGAAGAACAGTTATTTCTTCTTCGTATGAGACTCCTTAACGGTGCGCACCCATGATTCCGCTGAGCCGTCATTGAATGATGGAAATGAAATAGGAAGATAGTTGGACCTATAGCTATGCTCCCAGGTTATCAAAACTACATCCAACTGCCATAACTTTGGAGACTTGAAGCATGGAAAACTAATATTCGAACGACTCAAGGAAAAAGTCAAAATAAATAAAATCTTTCTATGTTGTGGGTAGTTGGAAAGTGACAACTGCTCTTTCATAACTTTCAAGTAGTATTGAAGGACTAATAGATTTGTATAATTTGGAAACAGCTTGATTCGTAAAACTTGAAATCAGTTGAAGAATAGTTAATAATCAGAGGGTGTTGTACAGTATTGTTTTGATTCAGTTTAAAAGTCCACAATGGTAGACACCAGTAACAGCACATTGGATAACTTGTATTCAATAATTGGAGCCAATTCTCAATAATACGACTAGTATCTAATAATATTTGTTAGGTACATGTTACAATGTAGTTATATTTACTTAAACCAGGACTACCCTGATGAGACAACAGCTAGCGTTTAATGACTATGTAATTTTTAAGCATTCATTATGTAATAATATTATGAGATAATCCATTTAGTAATTCATGTTAATCTGATCCAACATAATCAGGGGCAGACTACGTAGTTAAGGTCCACTGAATAATCATGATCAATGATTAGAGACATTAGTTGATATGTCTTCCCTTAGATCATGATTTTTTCTTCGAAAATTATCCTAATACTCTCTATTAAGTGAATTATTCTGTTGCTTCTGGAGTTATATTGTTTACATCTAATCTTTTTTTTAGAGAAAATGATTTAACTACTACTACTACTGTGGTGTATGCTACTTATGTTTGCCGATATGAGTAGTATGTACCACCAGCTAGAAGTGGAATATTTGAGAGTAGAAGGTTGGGAAGATTAAAGCAAAAAGAAGGAAATTGAAAGCAGTCTAGATAAAATCAGAAATGAAGGAACAATGAAGCTTGTAAGAGACAATTCAAAAAAGATGTGTAAATTATGTCAGTCAGCTAGTTAGTCAGTTACCATGTAGGACCAGGCACATATATGCATCGGTCCAAGTTGCCACACCTATTTAGCACAACAACACGAACACCGGCTTCATAGAAGCAGTTAACTCAAAGGCGTAATATATAAAAGAAAGATTTTATGTAAGGACAGTCACGCGGACCCCAACTAAGTAGTCTGCATCTACCAACATGGCTCAGACTAGAAGTTAGTGACTTCATGGACTGATGACACGTTTTGGTTTAGCCACCCCTGACTTTCTCCCAACCATCTCCAACACCATTCAGCATTGCATGTCCTGATAATTGGTGTTCAGACATACGCAACACATGGCCCAACCATCTCAGTCGATGAAGATTCATAACCTCATCAACTGATTTACCATCATTTGATGAATATGAAACCACTGTGTAATTGTGCATTAAACAATAAATTAGCCTTCCACAACTGAGTTCTCGTTCGTTATACTATTACTATTATGTCCATATTCATCTTGCCATTTTGATGTGATGTGGCAATTTGAATCGATGTGATTGTATCAATAACATATTATGTTTAGTAATTTTTTTCGTGACATTATTTCAGTAATAAATCGTAGTACAATCCATGATTCACGGTGTCCATATTCAATCTCTGACTGAATAATCTCTGTTAGGTTATTACGTAACATCTAACTTCTGAAGTATCCCCACCAAAGAAATGTTACGAAACCTGTAACTTGAAGTTATGATTTTAATCAATTCATTATATTATTCTGACTAATGAATAATAACATAACTTTATCTAAGCCAAATCAATGTTTCCTATAGAAAGTTAGCAACTAACACGTCCCCAACAGTAGTCATCTAACACTGCAGGTAAGCTCAGATGCGTGTGTGTGTATATATACATATTTGTAAGTGTTCAGTTGTTAGAGAATTTTAACTGAATTTATTTCAATACATTAAAATATGAATGTATATCTGAAAAGAAACCTAATTCAAATTGCCCCCCAACTGTGCTGAAGACTATAACAACATGATCATTAATATTCAATGATCTTTAAAAACTTTTATACTGTTAATGATCATATTGCCTACTAGTAACTGATTTCAAGAGGTGATTTTGGAATTCTAGCGTAAAGTTATGATTAGTGAATTGCAATTTTTTCTCAAGTATGAAGCAGATACTCACATAGGACAATGGAAAATGATCACTCTTTGTTGTAAATTAATTTAAGTTAGATATATGTAACACTGGATAGTTGATTAGGGAATTTCAGGTTAAGCGTTCGAGAGCAGGACTACAAGTCTTAAGTTCTATCGCTGGTGATAACCTCATGGACGTCTACTGATGAGGAGTCGCATACTAAGGAGAGAAAGCTATCCATGGCTTCCGGGTTTTAATGGTTATCTAACCTGGGTTGTTTTGTGATATCAATGACACTGTCAAACATGTGTGAATTTCAGCAAATATAAAATATTATTATATGTTTAGATTATGACTAGCAGTGAATAAACCTAAGATAGTGTTTTGTTCAGTGTATTCTACACGCTGGCATGGTGATTGATTCTCAAAGTCATGTCAAACAACTCAGAAACACTCCTTGGCTTTTCCAAACTTATGTCACTTGTGCAGTAAGCGAGATTTCCGTGGATGAATCAAAGACTTAGTATTCCCGAAAGTAATCTGCTCCATATTACTCTATAGCTGTGAAACATGTTCTATGGAGTTAAAAGACATGCGTAAGCTGCAGGGTTTCAACTATACGTGTCTTTGAGAAATTATTCGTGTACCGTGGAACGACCAGGTGAACAATGCTGAGGTTAGGCATAAGTTACTAGAGAAAGATAACAAATCAGATGATGAGGTAGTGCAGTTTTGTTGAGTAAGGTGGCTTTGAAATGGATTACGTATGCTCAGCCACTGAACGATTGACGTTCTGTTATGGTTGGTGTAGGAGTAAGTTAGAAGAAAGCAAACTGCAATCAAATAAAGACTTGGTCTTATTTCATTATATCATTGGCTGTCGATCTGAGTCATGTTGGCAGTTGCATAGTACAAAGTAGTATAGAGACCTCGAGATAACTGTGATAGGCGGCTGAAGATGTTGGTTAACTCTGAATCAGTTACAGTACCGGAGTTGTACTCGCTTTATTTTCTTTTGGATCTTGAGTTCCAGTATTCCTTCATACACATCTTTCCATTCCATCTTCTCAAACCAAACTATTACCGTTTAGTCTTTATTATTATCATTACAACTACAAGTATTTCGACTTCTTTACTAAACATACTATTAATATCATCTCATATTGTTTGTTTGATAAGGTAACTTGGGTTAATAGACATTTGTGCCAAGCAATTTGATGATTATGTCTGACTAAACCGGCCTTTATTTTAAAACAATGACATGCAATCAACTGTTAACAGTAATAGTAATAATAATAATAATAATAAAATCAAACTATTTCAAAGAAACTTACCGATTTACCTAAAAGATCCGATGCAGCAATACTCATTCGTTTAGCCAAACCAGTAACAGGATATCGGTGTTTAACATTTGTCAAAGCTTTTGTCTCCTAATCAATAAATAGAGTATAATGTATGGAGATATTAATGCAAAACAACTAAGGTAGAGATTCTTTAGTTAATGAGATAGAAATATTGATAAAAGTGTAGTCATAGGATAGGGACAAGACAATCAAAATCAAGTAAATGACTTTTAAGATTTTGTCAAACCAATAGCAGATATTCTATGCATAGTGATTATAATGTTTAAAATGATGATAATGGAAAAACTACTATTTATCACTATGGTGTAAAATGATAGCTTTAAATGTACTAAATGTTTAGAATATAAATAATATGCAAATCACGCATAAATGTATACCCTTAACTAGGAATACGAAGATGCCTAGCATACTTCTTGAGTTCTTATAAGTGTTAAAGAAGATGACTGTTCTATTCCCGAATGGATGAAGTTATATGAGATATGTTTTTTTCTTAGACTTATAGACAAAAAGATCTGCAGAAGGTTCCAACAGATTAGTTAATCATGTAAAATCTTTTTTAATATTACTACTTTTTCATTAAAAATTGTTATATCTAAGGCTTAGATTCTTACTATCCCGCGTATAACATCAGTACTCGGCGCTAGAATACTCCGAAGTCGCAGATGAGAAGACAAAGACAAGTGAAAGGAATGTTATTCCAAACAGTGTCAAATTATAGTACAAAAATGTTAGGTATTTATAGTTTTTAGTAAAAATGAAATCATCATTATAGTTATCCAATCCGCACACAGGGGGTTATTAGCATTTGTTCAATAGGGAAGCTACACGTATGGATTCTGGAATATTCTTCCAAAAGATAACTGGATGAAATATCTTCGGCTCTTTCTGAGCTTCTTAGAGATTCCTTTAGTTCACCTGTGGACCATCCTCACAAAAACTACTGAATAGTTGTTTCGTTCAAGTAAATAACTTTCCATCACATTTTCAGACTCAAATCAACAATTGAACTTGAGATTTTCAGGTCTCAAAACGAATGTACTAATCATCCAATCCCTTTAGTCAGTAATTGCATCACACCTGAAAATGTTGTCACCGATTAACTCTCATACAAAGAGGGGATTTTCTGTATTCATAATAAGTATCAAAAAACGATTTGTAGTTGACCTAACATCAGAGCTACATATAAGCTATTTCGCATATCTTAGTGATGGGTGTGGTTAATTAACTCGTATATACAAGTTTATCAAGTAACCCGTATCAAAAAAGATTGAAGCTATAAACTTGATTTTTACGATATTAATAAATTAAAAGTATAATTTTCTAATATCAGAAAGGGGTTTATGTGGAGAATATAGTGATTTAATAGTTGAAATCATGAGTCAATTGAAACTACACCATCATGGAAAACCTGGAAATACTGGTTGGTTGTTTATGGGACTCCTCAGCAGATGCTCACTAGTGACTGGCTTCAGGAGATATTTCCTCGAGTTCTAGTGAGGAGCAGCGACCAGTGGAGTTCAACCGGGTCTGTTGCGAGATAGATGTTGGATGTGTAACTCGATTTCGTGAATTAGTTGAAGCTAGACATTAACACCGTTGGGTGTCGGCTCAGTGGTCTAGAAGTTAAACATTCGCGCGCGAGACCGACAGGTCATGGGTTAGAATTCCGCGGAGCGGGACCGTGGATGCGCCCTGCTGAGGAGTCCCACGATAAGACGAAACGGCTGTCCAGTGCTTCCAGGTTTTCCAAGGTGATCTAGATTAAAATGAATCATGATCTCAACTATTAAAATATTTTTTTAAGTTTAATTATCTAAAATAAGCTAAAGTACACAAGACATAAGAAAACAAAGTAAGAAACATATTTTTTGTGATATTCCAATGAGTAGAAAATTGTATTCTTCATATTTCGTTACTTAAGTCAACGAACATGTAAGTTACACAAAAAGATCTCTTAATAATGCTGTAGAATTGGTAAATGTACGATAGTCTAGAAGACTTGTAGGTCAGGTAGATGATTTTGGTAGAGCTTTTTTTCTTTGAATGGAATGGTTTAGTCGTAGAGCTTTCATCGTTATTCTGAATGACAGCATCAGCACAAATGATTAAGCGATGATATTTTCATTAGTCGCCAAATCAATATTAAAAGTATCAAAATAATTCAGAAATGTTTTTTTTTCAATCATAAAGAGAAGCGAATAGCCGAAGCGCTTTGTGTCATGTTAAGTCTCTCCGACCACAAGAGTAGGGAATATATGAGAATACTTTTTCTTACAGGCTCCAACAGATATTCTAAACATTTCGCTGAAAACTGATTAGTAGATCTATGCAAGTCAAAAAAAGAGCTGGACAAGTAACCCAAGTTCCTATACTTTGGACATAGCATTTCACTACGGTATCGTTGATATTGTTAGCTGAATACATTTATATCTTTATTATTTAACATGATCCTTTCTTATTCTCTGGAAGATTTCACTCAGTAATTTATCGATCATTCCAGTTATATTTAGCTTGTTGAGGTCATTTAGAGAACTTGCTGCTATCTGACAACAGAATCGTTATTTTGTCAACATGGACATTCTAATTAATTAGAACTATTATTTCAACTTTGCTAAAGTGTGATATTCATAGATCTTACTTGCTTCTAACTAATTTAGAATGTTTTCTACGATCTTTGCTTAACAGGCATTCAATTATTGATTTTGTCAACACATACTCATGGCATCTCTTGACAAGAGTAGATTTAAAACGTTGAAATGGCGAGACTATAATTTATGAACGAACCAATCAGATTTAAGATAACAGGTCTGAGATATTCGCGTGAAATTCATTTACGCATTTGGCTAAATAGAGTCTTGGTATTATAGCTGATGTCAGTTCGTGACGAAAACCCGAAATCTAATTTTAAACCCTAACCATCAACTGTAAATCATAATCCTTATTCTCCAAACTGCTTAATAACCCTCATTTAGCCTTAGTAAGTACGTAGACACTCTCAAGGTCACTTTAGCGTCGCTCAATAGTCGTCCTTAAAGTATAGTCTCACCGACTCTTTATTTTAGCACATACTCACGATCTTAAATACAGAATCAAGGACTCGAATTTTAGATTTTGTCAACAGAAAGATAACTTTAGACTACTGAGGATGAATTTAATGGTTTACCCTCTTAACTTTAATCAAAAATGTTCTTTACTGTAATTAACAGACTAAGATCATTGTGATCACGAACTGGTACAAGTTAGACAACCATTAAAAACCTAGAAGCACACACTGAAAGATTGTTGCTAGATAATGTGAATTGATTAAATTTAGACAGATACGCCATCAGATGGTAGCTCGGTGATCTAGAGGCTAAGTGTTTACTAGTAACACCAAAGGTCTTGGGTTTAATCTTATAAGGTGAGGTTGTGGATGCGCACTGCTGAGTAATGCAATACTAGGATGGAAAAGCTGTTCAGTCCTGCTTGGTTTTCAGCAGTTATTAAATTTAGGTCAGTCTGTGATCTCGATATCACACAACAAAATTAAGGTCAGGTGATAAATGAGAAATTATTTTGTGATCGTTTATATACTAAGGGGGGTCTAGCACATAACAGCTTCTATATTAATACACACCTATGTGATTTACCCTGACTTTTGGATAGATGAATTACTCTGATCTTATTAGTCATTTCATTTATGTATGCGACCTTGGGATGTATTTACAGTGGCATGTATGTGTCTATATGCTTGTGTAGTGAACGAGAACTCAGGTGAGGACAGTCAATTTATTATTCTTTGGTAAAATGTGACGACTATACATCAAATAATTCATTTGCAAATCTCCCATCAATTTTTGTTTGTATCCTTCATCATTCTTTCAATTCCTAATTCCTTTCTGTTCCACTTTCTACTTCCTTCAGTTCAATCTTCTCAACCTTCTTTTGACAGACATTCCAATTCTTATCGGTATTACGTACTACTTGTGTATGTTGATATAAGTAGCGTACACCATACTTGCTTGTATCTTTCATGATTATACAAGTTGAAGTTATGATTGAATCAAATTCAGTAGATACGTTGACTTTCTGTGCTTTTTCTTCTCTTGCTGTTTGTCTGCATTGACGAATGTGCGAAATATATGCATTCGTATTTGAGTTGTTTTATCCCGTCATTTATTAATGCTATTTACGTCGATAAATATATAAGAAGTTAATTAGGATATGCATTTCATTCTTATCCATATCATCCGATTATAATAGAGTTAAGCAATGAGCACTAATGGCATCCTTACACATTTAAACCAATACAAGCAATATAGAATTGTATATAAGCACATTTTCAAAGTAGTTCATACAACATATTTGGATCACTGGGTTTAGCATAAATGAAGTTAGAAATTTGGATACCAACCCAATGAATCAACGGTTAAGTGTTTTGTGAAAATCTTGAAAGGCAAATATGCTATATCTGATAGAATTGAAAATATAAACAGTTAAGGAGTTCCATATTAGGATAAAACGTTTGTCCAGTGGTTTATACTTTTCACTAATGCTTTAATTAAGATTAGTCTCTAACGAATACCATCTACAAATTAAAACGTACTAATTAGAAATAGATCTGGAAAACTGATACCATTAATTACAGATATAACGACTCGACTTAATCGCATGATTAATGGTGCTGATTCCATGTAACTAGTTTACATGTTAGTACTGAGTGAATCAGGGGGAGATTGATTATGAATACAGTGATCTTGAGTGTTGTTAGAGGTATGAGGGTGGTTATCACTTCCCGGTTGCCCACATCGAAGAAAGGTTCTTCTAGAGGCACCTGAAAAGGAAATTGGATCAGGGGCGGTCTTAGTGACCCGAGAGCGTGATCGCAGTGCCCAAGGGACAACTGCTTGAGGTCGGTCATATACAACCGTTTTGTGAGTAATTTTCGTGTTAGCTCCGTATTTGTTGGGACCTTACCGCCGGAGACAGATATCCGTGGGATAAGGTGAAGTGTGCATTTTTAGGATCGACCTTTTCTAACCACATCTTTCCTTTGTGGGAAGGCATTGCTGCTGTCATGCTGGTTGTCTGAAGGAAACACTTTACTGTCGTCACACCTCTGTACAGTCAGCAGTACGACTTTGCTTTTAGTTTTATCGCCCTTCAACCGACCTGTCTGGCATGTTAGGACCTCGAGGAATGATTGTCCCAGCCAGTATAGCTCGATTGGGTCATCACGATAGATAAGCCCGACCACCACGTTATGGTAGCAGCAGCGGTTGGGCCACGTGTTACGTATGCCTGAACACCGATTATCAGGACACACAATGCTGACTAGTGTTGGAGATGGCTGGAACAAAGTTAGGGGCGGGCAAACCAAAAGGTGGCATCAGTGCCTAAAGTCACTAACTTCTAGTCTGAGCCATGGTGGTAGATGCAGACTACTTAGTTGGAGTCCGCGTGACCATCGTAACCAATGGTTGGAGACTCTGGGTAACATGGCTCAAAACCGATCACAATGCCATCATTGTATACACTTTTTGTCTTCCTTTAAACTGTGAGATTAAGATTGCTTTATACCTTTATACTTCTATGAATTTGATGTTCATTTTGTTGTGCTAATTAAGTGTGGCAACTAGGACCGATGCACATATGTACCTGGTTCTACGTTGTAGCTAACTGACTGATTGACTAATTGGATGAATTTATGGATATAAACATGTACATGAATAAATAAACAATAACTCCAACTATGTGAAAAAAAACAAACTATTTTTTATAGTACACTTTATAGTTTAGTGCTAGAATATTCATTTACTTAGATGAAAGTATAATTCGAAAGAGAATGGAAACCATTAAACTATCGATTCAATGAACTAACAACAACAACAACAAACCATTCACTTCCTGTTACTACACACAGTTTGACCTTAAGTTTACTCATCACGTGTATAAATCAACAATTGTGACTAGTGATAATTCATTGAAAGAGTAACAAAACAGTGTAGAAACTAACAAATGTTATTTCATTTGATAGAAATATAGACATATATAATTGCATGAACAAATGAATATGTTTATAAATTAATCAATAAACCCATAGAGTACCTCTATACAGTAGTACAATATTACTTAAGTGAGTAGCAGTCATAAGAGATAGAGTTGTTTAGACGAATATATAATCAGATTTATTATGAATTTATTAGTTACATTCTTTGTTTTAATTTAAGAAAATATATCATAGATAATGTAAGAAGTTTTATTCATCACAGATTGATCTCATTCGGAGTCTTATTGAAAACTATGGGACCATCATATGGTTGTTTTTATCTTAGTAAGGGATATCTTGGCAATAAATAGCTATTATCTTATCAGGGGTTCAAAGTAGGCCACCTGATGAACTAGGTCGGCCTCTAGTGATACAACTTCAATTTCAAACAGTTTGTGATATTGAACAACGATAATCTAATGCCATTGGTGACAAGTGTTTCACTACCAATATGTTTGAATTCCAATAAGCATAACTTCTTATTAGAACTCAAAGAACATCTTCAAGTCAAAAATGAGCTGAATATTATAGTTCAGTTAAAAGGTTTTATGAAGATTAGTTTCATTTTGTATGTTATATTCACTGTATACTGAATTCGATTGGAGCACCACGGAAAACCATATGGCCTTGAACAGCTATTTCTTTCCAGTATGGAACTCTTCGAAAGCGCATACTTATTGAGTTTGATCTGTAATAAATACAATCTATGAAGTAAACTAACCACTGATGTTTGAACGAAAATGAAATGGATAGGGATAGGAATAATCGTGAACATACATCGATACTTAATCATATCAGATTATAGAAGAAGAAGAAGAGAATTAATAGGTTATAATCTCAGAGGAACTACTTTAACTAACTAAGTTTTCAAGGTTTTAAGTTAAACAATCCTCAGACGTATAACTGAATCTTGAGAACAGAAAATACGAGAAATCCAGGATTTCAAAGTTTTATCAACAATTCATCGATCAGGTGCCGATTATTGATCAGATACAGAAGTTCGGTGGTAACGGTTATCCCTATGAAATTTGGTCATGTGGTTTTGAATTCCACAGAGATTCCACAAGATTGCACGTACGCCATTCTGAGCAGTGGGAACTAGTATTGATTAGGGGAGAAAGTTTTCTACCAACTGTCTCCAGCCACCTAAAGTCAAAAAATAGCATAGACAATTTCAGGTCCCTTGAACTAGCGGTCACATTACCGCAACATGGCTGATGGAATTTGACCAGCACTTCAAATCGGATAATCATAACATCGATTACTATTTAGCGGTTAATCAATGTAAATTATTGTGGTTGCTAAGACGAGTCACTGAACAGCTGTTTACAATGAAAATTCCTAAACTGCGTCAAAACACCAATTTGATAGTACCAACTAATAGGTATGCCAGTACACATATACGTAGATCTGTTACTAAAAAGTATACAATATAGTATCTTTTTCTCCATCAATACTAACTGAATGCTACTAAAATTTTAATGTATCTTATCGGTTAAACGGGTTATCATGATTAGATGCATTATATTTGACAGTGGATAAGCTTAACATAAAGTGACGTTAATTTTTTATCACATTTATCTTAGTTGATCATTAAATTTGATCAAGTCGTACAGAGATGGTCGTAACTCAGCTTAATAATAATACTTTCAATCAAACTGGTTAGCTATATGTGCTCTAACCTTGAAGTGAAGAAGATTCTCAGTTTAAGTGGATGTATAGGGCCAGTAAAATATCATTGAGCCCTAGTTGAACAATATATTAAACTGAACTGTTTCTACTTTAGACGCCAGACCACTTAGTTTTGAACAGATTACCGAGCCTTTTTTAAGATCAAGAATAACCAATATGGATTAATTAGTTGCGGGCTATAAAAAGGCCTATGCAGTAGTGGCTTCGCTCTTTACTTATCTTGTCTGTTCTTGTTGTTTCGATAAGATGCTGTTTGAGCTGTACAGTCACTAAAAAAATCGATTCACTTGATTTTCACGATAGGATAAGCCAGATTAGATATCGACTATGACGTGTGACTGTGATATAAACCAGAAGGTCATACAGTTCCTGTCCAAACTTAAGTAGACTCAACATTTAAATAGGTCACATACAAATGTTTTTAATGATTTTGTATTCTTCTAGTTGGATGTGAAGCTTTCATCGACAAAGCGGGTAAAAAATTTACGAACTCCTACTTTAAATAGAAGTGACGTTTTTAAGCTTCTCAATTAGCAATATTTTGTGTGGACCAAAGAAAATAACAGTAGAGAAACATAAATTCAAATTCAAAGATGAATAGTGGCTAGCAGTGGAATCCAGGACGCGAGTCTCGTCCTATTTGGGACTTGTCAGCTGGATTTACCTGCATCTCAGAGTTGACGTTCATTCTGAGACTCGAACCCAGTACCGTTCGTTTCAAACGCTATCGCGTTATCCACTTAGCTACTGAGTTCTGATAGCCACTTGCTTGTGCAATGGGGTGAAGTCCTAAACATCAATGGGAAGATTCAAGTAAACAATACCAAGTGAATTTAAATTCAAAATCATATACAAAATAAATCCCACTAACTGTAAGAAGTACCATATTGAGTAAAGTAAATACTGTATTAGCCTACGTATGCACGCAATATATGTTAAGTAGTTATAAGAAACAATGTGTCATTATTTGTAATAATGTAAGCAGACAACTGTAAACAAATAGTTGACTTGGGAACTGACAAAACTCAGTGAATGTTAAAGAGTTTCTGAAGCATGATATTCAATTTAACTTACAATCAATAGATATCAAGATCAACATAATCTGCTTACTTATCTATCAAAGAAGGGTAGATCAACCAGTCGATCATATGATTAGAAGCTTATCTGACAAAACAATTGATGGATATACCATAATACAGAAAGAAACAAGGCCACTAAAAAAACCCTTAGCAAACAAGTTCATCAAAATGAATTTATTCAATCATCTGAAGTTAACCACATTTGTCTTTTATGAATATGTCACTTTAACACATCTCAACATGTCAGACAAAAAAAGAAAGGTTTAAGTTAGGGCTTGCAACGAAATCCTCAGTAAAAATTGAGCTCATATATATCCAGAACCCATACACTAGGTGAAATACCCCAAAATGTTTGGCACGCAAACATTTCATGTCTCACGACGAATACTTCACCACTAGATCCCTGGTAGGGTCATGGGTATGCATTACTAAAGGTTCTCATACTAGAAACAAACAGATATCCAGTGTCTTCTGGTTTTCAGCGATAACTCAAGTGTGATCAACTTTTGATAGATACTGTCCACAAAAATGAAAGTAATTCGTTTACCACGGATATATGTATGTACTCAGCTTTGAACCATAGTTTACTCTCGTTTGAAGGCTAATTTGATTGTTCAAATCTAAAAAGAATAAAGTGGGATTTGAATTTATAACCTGCTAATTGAAAGCATGAACGTCTTTACTGTCTACACGACTAACTAAATTTGAATGAAAGACTGGTGGTTAATCACCTCTAATTTCAGAAAAATTAGAACAATGTCTATAAATTTACACAAGCGATGACTTACAACAATCTCATCATCACGCATATTTGCATGTTCTTTAACAGTGTGTAACACATGTGGATTTCTTGGTGGTCTAGGTGGTGGTTTATCTTCATTCGGTTTATATTCAACTTGCACATTTTTACTTCTCAATGTATTTTCACTAACATATTTAACATTTTTCTGCCTTGAATGAATCGTTTCCAAATCTCTATTCAAATAATTACTGTTGATAGGTTGAACTGCTGAATTCAGTGATGGTTGAGCATTGAGTTCATTGTTATCAGATTGATAAATGTTGGAATATTCAGGGCCTAAATTTAAAAAAAGACAATATACTCAGTATTTTATTGAATGTTATGGTTGTTGTTTATTTGGAGCGATCTACATCACTGACTGATCTAAGTCATACAATCAAAATTAAAGCACTGGCAAGCACCGGAATTCTTGACTGACTTACATCCATGCAGGATGATGCTTAGATATGTCTTTGGAAAGTAGATGATTGATGCAGATTATATAATATGGTCCACAAGCACAATTGAAATGATAAGTACTCAATAAGGTAGCCTGTAGTGACCGAAATTGAGCCTTTTAACGATTCACTCATCTCAAGATTATCTTACTAACAAAAAAAATGATGATAACTTACCTAAATGATCCAGACTTCTTTTTTCATTTAACCTCTGTTTTTAAACAAAAATAGTAAATATTATCCATCAGTGAAAATCAAAATTTCCATATAGTTCTGAATTGAATAAGTTCATAGTTAATTATTTACTCATATTCACTTTAATTACTGATATATATATAAGTACAGGTTATTCTGTTTATCTACAGGCTATTCATTTTAAGTGAGAGCCAACTAATACCGTGTGTAGATTATTGTAGTATATTTATTTTAAAGGTCTAACATTCACATCAGTACGCACGACATGCTTAGTGTATCTTCATGAGATTAGCATAATGAAATACACGGTCTTTAGAATAAAATACACCAATGGTATAAATTAAAGATTGAATCCTATTGATTCAGATAAGTAGCGCTAGTTGACTAGGCCAACGTTGTTAAAAGATTTCATAGTCGTTTGTTCATAATTAAACTAATCATCATGGTTTTCATACCATTTCAGAGTAAAGGATAGCATTTTCCGTATAGTTCGAATTTAGATGATAATCTGAGTAGATCGGTGATATGTTGTGTCAAAGTCAACTTTCACAAATCAAGAAAACGTTATAAATCAAAAGGCTAACGACAACAATTTGAGTTCTTATCTGTCCCCAATAAAATATATGTTTAGACAAAAACACTAGTGAACGACTTTTAACCATATTATGCTTTAACAGGAAGCTTTTGATCCAAAACCTAACTTACATCAGAAGTCTTTTACTTCCCAATACGTAGTTTTATTTGGACAGCTTAGATTCAGCTAGACGATTTGGACTTCACAGATTACCTAGTTTGTCTAACCCATACCCACTAACAAATGCAGGTCAAGACAACCAGTGTAGCAGAAGCCTCTGCATCAGTAGACTTGAGCATACACAAGGGAAAAGGCAACATCCTCAAATGCAACATAGAGAACATCAGCCCAGTCACACTTGATGGAGAAACTCGGAAGAGATGGAATCCTTCACATACCTGGGAAGCATCATCGATAAACAAGGAGTATCTGATGCAGAAGTAAAGGAGAAGATTAGAAAAGCAATGACAGCATTCCTACAGTTGAAGAACATATGAAACTCAAAACAACTATCAACCAATATCAAAGTCAAAAACTTCAATACGAACGTCAAGGCAGTTCTATTATATGGAGCTGAAACTTAGAGAACGACCACAACGATCATCGGAAAAGCACAGGTATTTACGAACAATTGTCTACACAATATACTCAATGTCTGTCGGTCGGATACCATAAGTAAGAGCCTGCTGTGGAAAAGAACAAACTATATTCCATCTGAAGGGGAAACCAGGAAAAGACGTTGGAAGTGGATAGGACATACATTACGGAAATCATCAGACTGCATCACGATGCAAGCCCTAACTTGAAGTCGTGAAGGAAGACGGAAAAGAGGAAGGCAAAAGAACACACTATGTCGATAATTGAAGGTAGATATCAAAAGAATGAATAGCAACTATAAAGGATTGTCCAGGACAGAGTTCGATGGAGGATGCTGGTGGGCGGCTTATGCTGCCCCATGAGGAGTAACAGGTGTAAGTATGTAAGGTAGCTTTATTAATATGAGTAATTGTAAGACAGTAGATATTACATGATAGCAATAGTGTGCTAATCAACGGGATGAATTTTCACATGTATGAACATCTATACGACTGATCAATGACTTTATGAGTCTTGTGAAGGTAGTGAAAAGCAATTAAGAACTCGGACCATTCACACTTCATAGATATGGGTATAATAGAAGCAAAAATTGGCCTTGGTGATCAAAATTACTGGTTTCAAAATAATTTGGAACTGAATGTCACAGATGCAGTATATTAATTTGAGAATTACTCAAAACTAACCACAAAAGACTACGTTAGTTGGCATACCATGTCATCATGTATCAATTTTGAGCACAGTATGGTATTCTATGCGAACAGGTTAAATGAACATAATCGTTTACTCATTTTGGAATACAATGTCTAACTCAGCATGTGGATGTCAAGTACATCAGTACAATTCGATTTTTCAACTTATGTTCAGTTGTGTGATAAATTTGGATGCTTTATGTGTGGACCTTCCCAATATTCATTAGTTTGTTTGTTTATCTGTCTGTCTATTTATCTATTAGTAATATTCCATTATTATACTGATGTATAAATACTCGAGGCAAGCTGACTAATTGACACTCAAGACAGTTTGAACTCATTTAAATACAATACTGATTAGACCAGTCATTTAATTCAGTCCTGGATTCTCTTCAGCACAGTATAAATGTTGGTGATTCTAAGTGCCAGTGTCTCGAAAAAACGTTAATTCCACTACAAAAATTTCTAATTTTGGTGTGACCCAATGCTACATTTATTTCAGATCAGCAGTGTCCACATAGTCCTATTACACTATTCTTACTACTAATGTGTACGGTAGTCAATTCAATTGCTAATATATATATTCCATTTCTACTTAATTCGTTTATTCTTGGTCATCGACTACAAAGATAATAGATATGACACAGATATTAACTGTAGATTTAATTCAATATATACTGTTTTGTAATAAAATGTTCCCTTCTATCTATCCATTTGAAAATTCTCCAGAACTAATACAAACACTTCTCTGAGTCGCAGAAATTTACAAGTCATATATCTCTCCTGAATAAAGCGAAATATCTGTTGAAGCCAGAGTTAAAACTAAGACTATGAGATTGTCAACGACAGTAAATAATTCATCTGCAATGGGGAGGTGACTAATTAATGGATGACTTTCAGCCACTAAGTCCCAGGACCGAACCCACCCCTTCCTGCTTCAGTTTGGACAACAGGGCAACATTAGCCCTGACACTCACAGTTTGGTTTATACGCTAATACCTGGTGAATCAGTTAAATACGAAATTTGTTTACTTAAAATTATTTATTTTATTCAGAAATCGATCAAAGATTTAGTTATATCATATAGAATAGGCCTGTCAATGAATATGTTATATTCTACTGCTAATTAGAGTTTTTGTATAGATATAAAAGAAAGTAATAAGATCAGACAATCTCATCATTATGTGCAAAATTTTGTCATAACATTTTGCCTGAAATTTACAACAACTATCTAGCAAACCAATCGCATTCGCCGAAATCTTCACGTTAATGGTTATTCAAGAAGTGAGTCTTTTTGGAATCACCACTTAATATTATTTCACATAGCAGCTTGGACAACATATTGCACATAACTGAGCGGATTTAAACTTCAAGTACTATAGTTCTATTGCAGGAAATAAACTATCCAAACCAAAAATTTGGTATAATCTTCAGTACATTCATCTTCAGGGTAATAATAAACTAACTTTCGAAGTCAGGATTTTCTGTTCTATTGAGTTGGACAAGTGTTGATCTGTGAAATGTGGTCGGCACTCCATATTAAGCCCCACTGACTGTGATTTGCAACTTAAATTTCATAACTGGTAAGATGTTGAGAAAAAAAATACTTTTTAGATGCTTTGTAAATAGCAGTTAGCCAGTTTTGAAAAGTCTTCTCTGCTTCTGGTCTAATATAATATGTAGCTCCAGAGTATTCTGTGATCTGAAACAATTCATGGAAAACACCACCTTACTGTTATCCAGGGCGTATCATCTTCTTGATATGATACAGAAACACCACAATGATTGAGAAAAATTTTAAGGCAATTCTTACGGTTTAGATGACCTACAAATATAAAATGACCTTCTGGATTTACTCGGAAAGATAAAAAGACTTTCGTGCTTAATATATGCCCATCTTTTTGAAACACAGTACTTTTGATCGCTTCGTACTAAATGCAGGATGAACCCATGAATCACAATAAAGTCCATGAATGAGGTTGTTGAAGAGCGCACAGCTTACATCAGTCAACTGACCTTCATATACAATAACAAATAAGTTACTCTAACAAGAAAAAATTTAAAAATCTCAGTTGACAGAGATTATGAGTGAAATATCTTTTCACAAAATTCCTAATGTTGAGAAACAGTTCCGAATCTCTAAGAGCATCCAGTTGGGTCAATCCAGATATTAGATACTGTGGTGAAATTGAGTAAAGTTCCAATTTTTCTGTTGTATTTGTAACAGTTGACAGTATTATTATGCTTAATAACTTGGTTTGTACTTTTTCATGTTCATATGTGTCTGGTCCACTGTGGTGTTTGAATTAACTAATGATTCTTTGATACTTGTTGAATGCTCGATTTCGAATTCTAAATACAGTACGTTCGCTTGTGTTTGTGTCTCACTTCTTAATTCAATTGCGGTAATTCTAGGATTCCTAGTTCATACTACAAATCAAAGAATCCAAAACATTATATTGGCGTCGCGATGGAGCCTGAAATGGAAAAGTTAGATATTCATTCAACTACTGAAGCTTTTGAGGATTACTTGGAAAGGTTCGAAATTTGGAGCATGACCAAGAAAGATGTTAAAGGTGATAAAATTGTGGCACATTTTCTGACATTTGTAGTGACTCACGTTTATCACGAGAACACGACTGGTTTAATAAAAACAATTATTATTATAACCAACTGTACCAGTGTTTGTTTTAACGTGCTTTTGTTTGACTGTGCTAATGACAGCTATTTTGTGCTTTCATTCTTTTACTTACACTTTGGTTGTAACTTCGCGCGAATTCGGTTACCTTCTGTAACCAAGGTTGTATCCTGGCACGATCTCGGTATCCTTTCGATGCCACGAGATCGCCAGCTAATAAACCTCGACTTGGTCCATTAATCGCCTTCTGATATTTGACTTCTCGGGGATTTTATGGAGTCATTTTAACGAGCTTCTTACGCCTTCTGATCTATTTGGCACGTGTTTCTTGGTAGCGGTGTTCACAGTTAATCTCAACTCGACGCCACGCTACAATTGGTAATCCCAATTCGAATACAATTGGTGACCCGTATTTTGGAACACGCCTCAACTTCTGATCAAATCTTTCAAAGAAGCCAATTCGGTGAGTCTATGATTTATCTATCCACGTCTGTCGTATATTTTCATATTTTTTAATATATAATATACGCGACATGACGGATAACGATAAGAATAGTATTAATATAATAGACTCACACGTATGTGTACCGAATCCTTGTCACTTTTTATTCGCGTGATGATGAATTCCAAGCTTTATTCGAGAAATGTTACCCTATTAACGATTCTCCTCGCTGACCCGGCTGCTTGGTACGGAATGCATACGCATAAGCATATCCGTCTACCACCCAGCACCAAATGGTTAAGTTGAACGGTTTCACTGCCAACTTAAAAGTGTTCTACGAGCACACGAAAACGGCAACTGGCACGAAACCTTACCGCTCGTTCTTTTAGGGGTGAGAACGAGCTTAAAGGCAGATATCCAATGTTCCGCCACTGAACTTGTATACGGCACGACATTGCGTCTGCCCGGAGAATTCTTCACACCACGGAGCAGACCTAATTTCGGTAAATCAGACTACGTCCATCGACTGTCTGCATTTATGCGAACGCTGTCTCCGGTGTCAACTCGAATACAACATCGACAGGTCGCTCTCTCTCGAGAGTTATCTACCTGTTCACATGTTTTTGTACGAGTAGATTCGGTACGCAAACCTTGGCAACAACCTTACGAAGGTCCTTTTCGCGTGATCGCTCGTCACGAAGAGACCTTCAAGGTTGATCGATATGGACGCGTCGAGATCGTCAGCATTGATCGTCTCAAACCAGCACACGTCGATGACAGTGCCCTATCTGACAACCTGAGATTCAATGCTAGACCTATCAAACCTACTAGCGGGATCCTCAAACCATCTTCAGGTCCCACGCAAGATACATCTGAGACCTCATTCTCACGTCCCAGTCAACAGCACGCGTCATCTGCACCGTCTACGGACGAGACGACAGTCTCACGTCCAGATCAGCAGACCACGCCGCCCTTGACTTCGGATGAGATTGCAGGCTCACGCGACGCGAACGAGACTGCCGTCTCACGTTCCGGTCGCCGAGTACGGTTACCCGTACGCTTCCGCGAATAGTCGCACAGTCAACAACCGATACCGTGTAGGATTATTCCTATACTACACGCATGCTACACTCCTCTTTTTTTGATTTTCTTTTTGTTTCCTGAGCCCACGCCTTCGACCATCTCCGTTTGGTTCCGTCGACTTCAGTCAACTTTGGCGAAAGCTGGATTGGCCACCCACGCTCTTGTCAACGTACTCAGTCGATATATTGGTTTCGAATGCTTGGCATACGCTTGGTCTCGAACTTGGTCGTTACGGTCGCTTCTGGTCTTTTGGCTCAACGTGGTTTCGTCCTACGTCTGCAGCGTTTCTGGTGCGCACCTCTACGAACGCCCTCTTCAGATTCTGGATACAAACCACTCTGATGTAGCATGCCAATTCGAGCAATAAATACAACACATCGCTCCTGGTACTGTTCTCCGAAAACGACCTTCGTTGGCAACTCGACGATCAACGATCGCTTTCCTGTTCGCCAATTCTTCCGTCCTACAATCGCTCGTCAGCCGATCAGTCCCACGATTCAAACCGCTATTTATCGAAAGTGTAAACCCTTTCTAGCGGGGGGCTCCTGTAGTGACTCACGTTTATCACGAGAACACGACTGGTTTAATAAAAACAATTATTATTATAACCAACTGTACCAGTGTTTGTTTTAACGTGCTTTTGTTTGACTGTGCTAATGACAGCTATTTTGTGCTTTCATTCTTTTACTTACACTTTGGTTGTAACTTCGCGCGAATTCGGTTACCTTCTGTAACCAAGGTTGTATCCTGGCACGATCTCGGTATCCTTTCGATGCCACGAGATCGCCAGCTAATAAACCTCGACTTGGTCCATTAATCGCCTTCTGATATTTGACTTCTCGGGGATTTTATGGAGTCATTTTAACGAGCTTCTTACGCCTTCTGATCTATTTGGCACGTGTTTCTTGGTAGCGGTGTTCACAGTTAATCTCAACTCGACGCCACGCTACACATTCATTGGGAGAGAAGCGTACAGCTTATTAAAAACGTTAGCATATCCAGAAAAACCTATCTCACTCCCTTATGCAACTCTTAAAGAGCTATTATTAAGTCATGTAAAATGCACCAGTTACGAATGCCGTGAAAGGGCGAAGTTTCATAAGATGGTTCGTCAAAATGACCAAAAGGCTCGGGAATTCATCCTTGAATTACAGAAACAAGCTGCCAAGTGTAATTTCGGTGATCAACTTCATGTGCAACTGAGAGATCGATTAATTGCAGGAATTAACATACCGAGTTTGGAAAAAGAGCTGTTAAAAATGCCAAAGTGTTCCTTTCAAGATGCTAGAACTGCGTGTCTTAACTACGAAGCAGTCAGTGAAGATTCCTAATACTTTGCTTAGTCGTCGTGATGAACTACAATCTCAGGGTCAATCAAACTTCCGTTCATTTAACAGTGATTCCTATTCTCGTGTAAATATGAAAGGTGTTTCAACTAGGAATTACAAAGCAAATCACAAAGGTGAGATGAAGTTTGGTAAATGTTTATCACGTGGAAAGTTTCATGCTCGCAATTCATGTGTATTTCTTAGTGCTAAATGTTTTAAATGTGGTAAGGTAGGACACATTCAGTTAGTATGCAAAGCTACTGTCCATTTTGCTTCGAGCTGTACTAAATCTTGTAATTTAAATTTCAATAATTCGGATGTTTCTAGTGATCATTTATCTTTGTCTACTATTTCGAAAGGTAATGCTCATATTCAAAAACGACTATATACATCGCTTGGTTCATTTCATGACTTTATTCTGGACACAGGTAGTATAGAGTCCATTATTTCATTCAAGAACTTGAAATCTTTAGATCCTAACGTTGTTGTACGACCCACTGAAGTATCAATATTGTGGATTACTGGACACAGACTGCCCATACGAGGATGTTGTGAATTGCTAATCAGAGATGATAATTCTTCATACATACCTTGTGAATTTTTAGTTAGCGAAACAGGACTGTCATTTTTGGGTTTAAAGAATTTGAAAAGGCTTAAGGTGGGGTTGTCCTTCCAAGTTTCTAAAGAAAATTCGGATACTTTACTCAAAGATTTGATAGCTATATGTGCTAAGTGCAGTGGAGGTATGAAAATTCAGCCAATAAAACTTCAAGTACAGGGTGATCCAGTCTTTCTTAAAAGACGAATAATTCCTTATGGTCTTCGAGAAGCAGTATATAAGACATTAAACGACCTGTGTGCGAAAGGCATAATTGAACCAATTCAGTCTTCAGCATGGGGTACTCCTATCGTTACGCCACTGAAGTCGGACGGCAAGACCCCTAGAATTTGTGGTGACTATAGATTAACTCTGAATTCCCGTTTGTTGAAGCAAACGTGCACGACGGTAGAAGCTGAAGATATTCTAAATCGACTTCATGGTTTTAAAGTGTTCTCGAAAGTTGACCTAAAAGATGCTTATCTTCAAATTCCTCTAGATGAATCTTCATCTATTTTGACGACAATTAACACTCCTTTTGGTCAGTTCCAATACAATTTCCTTCCATTTGGTCTAGGTTGTTCTCCAGCAATATTTCAGGAAGTTATGAATAAAGTAGTTAGTGGTCTTGAAGGTGTCGAAGTTTATCAAGATGATCTCATTGTTCATGGTTCTAATAAGGTAGTTCATGACCACAGACTTATTGCTTTATTGCGTCGTTTAATTTGGAAAAATATAACAGTGAATCCAAATAAGTGTTCATTTTGTGTATCTAGTTTTGAATGCCGTGGATACCTAGTTGATGGTAATGGTTTTAGACCAGATATGAAACGACTAGCCCCACTGACTAATGCACCGTCTCCGAAAAATCTTACAGAATTACGTTCACTAGTGGGTGCTCTCCAATACTATTCCC